GTATGTAGTTTAGTATTGTACTTTTGTCATGCAACATTGTGCCTCTGCTAAGTCAATTCAATTTTCCTTTCATTTTGTATTTATGAGCATAAACTCAAACATCACGTAATCTGTATCAGTGAAATTCTGAAGTAAAGGTTGTTATTTATCAGAAGTATGTTTTTCATTGCTGGAATCTGTAAAACACACTGTTGATAACTTTTTTAATGGTGCGTGTTTGGTTGTAGAATAGTTTGCAATTCCCTTATTCTGCCTTTGTGGACTATAAGAATAGAAATTTATTCGATTTTCATAAAAATGTGTATAATTATATACACAGCGAGGTTCACATGTGGTTTTTTTGTTGTTCACTAGTAACTGCATCGGTTCCTGAAAATAAATAAAATTTTCATAAAGACTGCATCGTTATTCGAATGATTTTCGTCCAAATTACAGTAATGATGTACAACTAGAAAGATATTGAGGCGGCTCAGATAGCAAAACATTCCTTTATACAAATGTTAAAAATATATCACTACAAAAAATGGTTCAAAATCCATGCCAAATATATTTATGCTGCGCTGTAAAAATTATCCCAGAATATCGCAATAATGTATTTATGTAAAAAACCATAAAAAACCGTAAGATTCTCTCTCGTGCGTTGCTAACGCTAACGTTGCTAAAGGGTATTATATTTCAAAGACGTTATAGGATGGCCATGTTATACATTTATGCATATTTATATTAATTTTTTGTAAAGAAGATTTCCTTTTGAATATATCAAATGCCAAGAAATCCTTCGATCGATCAATTCTGGTATAAATACATACGCTTGAAACAAATGATGGGGTAAGTGACCTTGTTTAGGTCAGCAGCTATTGTTCAACGAGAGTAGGATAAGATCGCCAGCTAAGATAAATGTCTGGTCGGTGACCTGGGAGTTTCTATTTTTCATTGGAATTATTTTTACACATCCTCGGTCGCTCTCGTGCCTTTGTGCTGCACTTTGCAATAGGGAATGCAGAATGGAATGCTCCGCCACTTTGGAAAGCTTTGCGGAGATAGATTCGCTTCCTGAGCATTGTTTCCGGAATCTAAATTTTTGATTGATGCTTCCGCGATTGTAACCATCGTAAAATATTACTTTTAAATATTTATGAAATACTGTTGATGGTTTTTTTCAATATACGTATATATATAGTATTTCAATTAATAATTGAAAGAGCAAAAACCCATCGTTATGGATGTTGGTATTGTCCGTAGACGGTCTCAGACATGTGTTTCTCCGCTAGGGTCCATGTGACGTTGCCCACTTTTCCTTGTATCTATAGCCCCGCAGTACCCACGGGTGTTTAGGCCTCAGGCCTCCGTGGTTGCTTGAGTATATACAAAAGGAGGTGGTTCCAGATGCCCTCCAACTTCTTTTGACTCATCTGGGCTGCTTTCACATTTACTTCCAAGGCGTGTACCAGGCGCACACCACTCGATTACTTTTAAAGATTGTTGATCGTCGACGTTCACATTTAACGCCCGGTCAACAACTTTTTGTGCTTGACACTTGTCAGTATTGCATTCAGGTTCTTTTCAAATGAGGAGGAATATTGTTTTTTATTAAACCTCTCTTGTGTGACCCGAAAGTCATTTTGAATAATTTGAAAATAGACGAGTAATTATTTACGGTGCATTTGATAAAATATTCAATCCGTGAAGAAAGCTTACTGACAATCTTAACTTGAACTGGAGATGGGAAATATCATTCCATTTTTCCAGAAACAATAAATTACGCTCCGAAAAGCTGCACAACTACGCGATTGAAGAAAAAGCTAGGTTGAAAGTACTCTGCAACATCCAAGCGTCAAGTCGTTCATATGTCAAAGTCGTTGCGAGTTTAATCACATACATCGTCAAAACGTCCATATCGCGACAGCGCTCCCTAAATGTGAATGCAGCACTGGTTTCCAAAACGGTATTTTTCATACACAGCTTGTTATAACAGACCCCACGACAAAATTTATAATACTTGAGCGTAAGCTCACCACTAATACCCAGAGTTTCGACGTCCGACATGAAGCGTCTAAACGTAGTTGTTTCACATGATTATTTGTTAGGGTCGCGATTTAGTTGGTCCACTGCAGCTTTTTTACAAAACCTGGGTTGCTCAATTCAGTGGTTTTTATCCTATATCGTACCATCTATTTATGTGATTCTCCAGTATTTTCGAAGATTGTGATTTTGTCATGTTTGTATTGGGATTAAAAGTACTATGCATGAAAGTTGTTTAAAAAATTACTTATGCATGTATGACTTGGTGTTTTCTTGCCAAGACACACATGCAAAGGCTTCAACTACTGTAAAGCAGAACTTTACGAAAAATTTGCAACGCTCCATGGGACGTCTCAAACGAGACACTACACAGAGACCTTATCTTCCTTACTTGAGGGATTATGTCAAGCTTCAGGCGTAGCGACATTATAGTCAAGCGGAATCGCACAGCAACCGTTTGTTGCGTGACTCAGTGGACTACACAGTGGAGCAAGTTCGCAAACATTCAAGGCCACGGCTCGCAATGTGATTAAAAATTAGCGCGAGCTTTTAGTAAACCTAAAATTACACTCTAACAGCCTGAATCAAAATTTGTTTTTAGTTCACCTCGAAATTATCTGCGTACCAAGTCAAAAAACCTAGGTGTTTCCTCTTAAACTTCTATTTTTCTTTGCTCTTTTCTTTCCCTTTCTCTTTTTCCTTTACATTGTCTGGTTTCTGCGCAACCCGGACTGACAGATTCTACTAACGTACGTGACATTGGGCAAAGGTCCTACGGACCGCCCACACAGACAAATGATGAATAATATCAACGTGATTTTATAATTGCATAGTGTAACGTCATCTTTTATTTCCAAAAATTTGCAATGAACGTTTGCGCGGATAAGCTTAGCGCTTGACTGATGATAATGAGTTTTGATTTGGAAGACGATGATTCTAAAAAAATCCAATAGGCACATTTCAGTTCTAGTAAAGATATATTAAGGTGAATTCAACTATGAAAGTACCACCACAATCGGCGAACTATTTTAAACATACGGTAAACGTGTCAACCGAACGTCAAAGTCGTCTTGTCAATTGCCTGACGTGACACGAGATGGACCGTTTGAGCTTCCTGGACCTCCTGACCGCCTTGGAAGATGTCCACTATGAGATTATATCCATGTTTCCAGGTATATTCATAATGTCTTGATACTTATTTCTGCGTGTGTGTGCAGCATATTACTGCTTGAACCTTTTTTGGGTCTCGAAATTAAGATTTGTACCAAGCATTCCTTTTTGTTATATTTTTTTATTAGATGTTGAGTTTTGGTAAACTTCTGCTTTTTTAGTTCTTCTATATGTTGATGTGGAAAACAGTACTCACAGTACACACTAGCAAATGCGGCTTTACTCGTATCTTGCCACTGCGAGATTGGTATCATATCATTCTAATTTTTCCAGTACGGGTGCTTAGAAGCGCGTTCTCAGAATTTGCAAAAAAAAAGATCTGTGATATACCTGGTATGACTCTGCGAGTCGTTCCATACAAGCATAGAAATATGTTTTATAAGCATGGAAAAAGGGTTTACAAAAAAATGTGTGGAGCGGCAAGTTAGAAATTTCATACATTTTTCTTATCAGGTATTCAACGATGAACCAAATGTATTATGGAAAGATCTCTCGTTGATTTTCATGAGTATAGTGAGAAGTGGGAAAAAATAAAAGTAGAGTTTAGAATTTTGCGTTGGTTGTTTAAAAATCACACTTTTGACGTTGTAGTTGTACTAATGCATAAGTTAGACATACCCGTAAAATGTCTCATCTAACTGCAACAATAACTGAACTTCGCCTGAATACAACAGAAATAATTCAAGAACAAAAGTTCACAATATCTACGCCCTCTAAACTGCTTTGGGATTTTGTTAAGGGGTTTGAACAAACTTTAAGAACTTTGTCAATTTTGAAGCTTTGATTTTTTCGAGTCGAAAATTACATAGTTTGCACTTTTTTAAATACTCAGCTTAGTTCTCGAAAACTATCATCTGTAGAGTACAGTTCATGTGCATATTTTATGTTCAGAATGAATTCGGAAAAATAATGCTTAGTTTTGTGCGAAATTTTGGGCCTGAAAACATCTAGATTCGTTAAAAGGTGCCTTTCTGAATAATATTATACCAAAAACAGAATCAATATTTTTCCGAGCATCTCGAAGATGCTTCCTGGACTATATAGTTAAGATACATTTTTGACTATTCAATATTGAGATATTATAACAAGAAATCGTATTCAAAGTATTATGAATACATGTTGCAGGCTTGTAAATGATCTCAGAAAATATGATCATATATCGAATGCCATTAATGAACTCAAATGGATGAAAATTGATAAAATGTATAAGTACCAGCTCCTAAATCTGACTCATAAGGTTCTTTATTCAAAAACACCGTCATATTTAGTAAACAAATTCATACGTAGAGGGAATATGCATCGTATTAATATTAGATATAGAGAGACTTTTTCAATTCCACGCCACAGCACTTCTCTATTTCAGAATTCATACATTTACAATGCGATCAAATCATATAATTCTTTAGACCGCAGTTTAAAAGAAACCATTCCATTATCCAAATTCAAGAAAAAAGTGAAAGAAGTTCGTCTTGATCAGCAGCGAAATCGGTTGTAACCCATAAGTGTCCTCATATTTTCCGTATGTATTTACTTGGGTTATTCGTTATTGTATACAGGTGCCTATTAATTTTCAACAAATTCTGTTTTTTTTTTACATCTCGTATTGTTAAGGGGGTTAGATGGTAGAATAGATATATAATCTAAATCTCGCCTCCTGTAAGAATATTACAAATAAAAGACGTTAATTATTATTATTATTTCCAACAATGCGTCTATCAATATTAACGGATCCCAAAACACTACCACCCATCCTACATCAGTCACTTTATATGGTTTGATGACCTTTACATCTATATTGTTTTTTATAGGATCCGAGGACCCGGCGAACCCTGCCGAAGCCGCCGCCCAAGCGATGCCGGCCGGGGGTGGCGGTGCAGCCGGGGGCGGTCCTTCAGGTCCCGGGGGCGGCGCCGATTCTGAGAGCGACGACAGCGAAGTTGGTCGGCTGCAGGCACTGCTGGAAGCGCGCGGACTACCGCCGCATTTATTTGGAGCTTTGGGACCCAGGATGCAGCACCTGTTGCATAGAAGTATGGGCACCAATAGCTGTAAGTAGACCTTTAACCTTATTTAGATATATTCTGTATAGCTTTTTTTAAATAAATACAATAGGACAGTTGAGTAAATGAAAGTAAACACTCTAGATGTTACTTGCAAGTTTCCTTGAGTGGTGTTAATGAAAATACTTAATACATACATGCAAGACTTGTGTCGAGAAATAGAAGCTAGGCAACTTTTGAATCCAGAAACCTCTTCTTGCCTACGTCTAAAAATGATCGTGAAATTGAAAGGCATTGAAAACTAAACAGATTTCTTAACATTAAAAACTTAATTCATATTCCAAATATTTTTTCAGCTGTTTCAAGAGCACAAGCTCTGCTACCCGGTCTGCAAGCCACTGGGGATGAAGGTCAACAGCTACAAGCAGTGATTGAGATGTGCCAGATTCTTGTAATGGGCAATGAAGAAATATTAACCGGGTTTCCTGTAAAGCAAGTGGTTCCGGCACTCATTACTTTGCTGCAGATGGAACACAACTTCGATATTGTGAGTACTTATTAATGTATCTAAAGCTTACATGTTTCTCTCATTTTCCCCATAGTCTAGAAATTTTTACTGCCAAATAATATAAAATATGCTGAATACCAATATTCTAAAATTTTGATTATAATACGATTTCTTAATATCGTATATTTTCTTTTTCAGATGAACCATGCTTGTCGTGCTCTAACCTACATGATGGAAGCTTTGCCGAGATCTTCGGCCGTTGTAGTTGATGCTGTACCTGTATTTTTGGAGAAGTTGCAAGTGATTCAGTGCATGGATGTGGCCGAGCAATCTCTTACGGCTCTGGATATGCTATCCAGACGACACTCGAAAGCTATACTTCAAGCGGTGAGTTTCCTTAGTGGTAAATAAGTATTCCTATCGAGCCATTTTAAAGCATGCGTTGGTCTGGTAATTCATTGGCCAGGCTAAAGAGTGTCGCTACAGAACATGTAATTGGGATTTTGTTTTTAAATAAACCATACATTTTGGAAAAACAGTATTGTCGCTTATACTTATTTTAATGTAGGGGTATATGAGTTTTGTTTTTTTAAAATCCTCCAAATTACGGCTTATTTTACAAGTAACTTGAAAAATGTTTTGCTTCAGATTATTAATCATCTGCGGATTGTTTGAATAGACTTTAGTCGTGAAAAAAACCAACAAAATATCTCACTCGCTAGGCAGCGAACATCACCATCGCGAGAAATCATGCAGCAGGAAAACGTTCTTGTAGCAATTAGAAAGTTTCCCTTGCTGTATGACTGTTTCCAATTTAGAGCACAGAAATTTTATATTTGGAGTAACGCTCACCACGAACATTTTCATAAAAAAATTGAGTGATCTTTCCAGACTCAAATATCGTTAATTATTTTTATTTACATATTGGCACTTTCAATATTATTTTATACTCAAGTGCTACTAAATTATGGGTATTAATAAAAAATGGAACAAATACGAGGTAAATTTAAAATGTCGGAGCGCAGTGCTATTGGCGTAAAGTCACCATTCGCAAATTGCGACCAATCAATAAAGTGTCCAGTCCGAGACGTTCGTTCTCACTGTCATTGATTGTCAACCTATCAGTTTGATGTTTGTTTAGTTTGAAAGCAACACAGTCATATATCGGGTTGTTTTTTATTTTCTCTTGTATTTTAGACCACACACTCAGGTATTAGTTATAGATATTGTAGTCCTGAGTGGACTCAATAATGACTGAAAGTGGTTTTTAAAAGTGACAATCGGATAATCTAACTGTATAGCAAACTAACCAAAAAAAAAAACAATGCGGCGCTTAAGTCACCGCGTTGGCATTGCAGTTTTAAATCTTTAAATAAAAATGTAGTCTTTTATTTCCAGGAATGAAATATGTGTTTACAGTATATTAATGTAAATAATCGACGCAAAATGAAAAAATCATGCATATTCCCTAATCTGGCAGGATCTATAAGCAAATTCCCGAATATCTAGATCACGCATCCGCAGAAAAAAATTTCTGTCTCAAATTGTTGAAAAGTAGCGACAATTTTAAATCCAGAAGTCCCTATTAGAATACTCATTAAAACCATGAAAATACTTTTAGGATGTAGATGAAATTTTGACACATGCCTACTGTTATATCAACGACAAAATGATAGAACTCAATGTTTTCCTGGCCAGTTGAAACCACATCTTTAAAAATGAAACTCTTTACTGACGGAGCATGAAAAGCACAGGAAAAATTTCAGGTGTTACATTAAGGTCGGAAAGACTTAGTAGTTTTAAACGGTCATGTGGTGGACGGATTGTAGACTAAACAGAAAAAACTTTGTTTTTACTGTCCCTTTTTTTCTGAATTTTGAGGATAAAATGTCATATCTGCTGTCACATTAAAGAAAAACGTGATATTAGCAATTCAGTTTGAATAACCAGCAGACTGAGCAATTTTGTCAGACTTTTTGTTACATTTTCGCTTCCTTTGCAGCGTGGCGTTTCAGCCTGCCTGATGTACCTCGACTTCTTCTCGATCAACGCCCAGCGAAACGCCCTCTCCATAACAGCCAACTGCTGCTTGAATCTCTCCTCCGATGAGTTCCAATACGTGCAGGAATCACTCCCATTGCTCGCCTCCCGTCTCACCCAGCAGGACAAGAAGTGCGTAGAAAGCGTCTGCTTGGCGTTCTCGCGTCTGGTGGACAGCTTTCAGTTGGAGCCGACGAGGTTGCAGGAGATTGCCAGCACTGAACTATTGACCAACATGCAGCAGTTGCTGGTCGTCACGCCGCCTGTGATTAGCACCGGGACGTTTATTACGGTGTTGAGGATGCTGTCGGTGATGTGCACCAACTGCCCCGATTTGGCGTTGACGTTGTTGAAGCAGAATATCGCCGAGACGTTGCTGTATCTGTTGACCGGATCCGCGGAGGTTAATCAGGACGATATCGAGCTGATTCCAAGGTATGATTTATTAATTTTTAATTACAAAACTAGGATTTTGTAAAGAGCATATACTAAAATTCACACCATAATCTGTTCTTATTCTGTATGTTTCCTACGCTATTAAAATCAAATATCGTCCTTTGCTCAGTTTACATTTCGAATAGATACCTTTTGATGAAATCCAAAAAATCTTTCGCTGCGAGAAATCGTTTAAATATGATGACATCATTATCTTTGTTGTTATGCTCCTCTACCTGTTTGCATTCATCATATGAATCTTTAAACCTAATTTCCAGTTTGGGCAACGTGGACATGTACTTATCCTGTTGTTGTTTCGCTGGCCGGGAAAGTTATTCGTAGTAAAAGATAGCAAGCACATCAGGACAACATTCTTGACGCTGCTTAACGTTTTACCCACATTGCATCACCAAAAATAATGTTACGAAAATGGACTGGGGCGCGGAATTTGAAACATATTTTGTTTATTTGACGGGATGAAGTCTCTTAGACAAGTCTATTAAAAAAATGTTTACGGACCCATTACAGACAGACAATTAAAGTCTCCATGGTGTAGGAAATGTTGCTTCCTCTTCACTATTTGAGCTTTCTGCAGTAATAGTTTGCTCCTGAAGTTGAAGCATATAGCAATGTAGTTGCACACCAGGTGCAGTCATTTTTAGAGTACTGAATGAACTGTGTATAATGGTGCATACAACTTAAACTAGGTGCTAATAAGGATTTTCCGAAAATTTTGGTTACGTATAAAATCTAATTTTCTACTTTTATTTGACAAAAGGCAACCTCAAGAACAGTTCGAGATCACGTCGCTCATCGGTGAGCTGATGCCAAAACTGCCCACCGACGGAATCTTCATCGTGGACAGCCTCTTGGAGCGACCGTCCAGCGTGGCTAAGGACCAACCCGTGTGGCAGTGGCGCGACGATAGAGGCTTGTGGCATCCTTACGGAGCCGTGGACAGCCGGATTATAGAGGCAGCTCATTTGACTGGAGACGATGAAGTTAGCCTAAACACATTGGGGCGGATATATACTATTGATTTTCATTCCATGCAGCAGATTAACGAGGATACAGGTACCTCGAGACCTGTACAGAGAAGGTAGGAAAATTACTTTAGTGCTTAAATATTTTCATTGTCAACTTTACCTTTATTCGTTTTGATCATTATATACAAAATTGAGATGTTTTACGGACGCCAAATTCGCCGCATTTTGTTAGGGAGGTTGATGTGGTTACGATGACGCTGTGTGACAACATCATGGCCACTCTGTCAAGCTCTCCATTGATATAATCATTCCGTCCTGGCTACAAGTATTGCCTCTTAGTGTTCAAACGTTCCTTTAACGCACCACTAAGTGTGATTTGCGGCGTATTCAACACTTAAGTAGCATTCAGAAGTCTATTATTTCAGGCTCTGCACGTACAACATATATTATGCGTTATTTTATAGATGTTAAGTCAACAACAATCTACCTGATGAGGTTTTCCCCAGTTCTAATCATAGAATTTTCAGAAGTCGGATTAATAAAGTTTCTTTAAAATCCTCGCCTGCGCGGCTGTTTCGGTTTATAAAAAAATGCGATACTTTTCAGATTCACTCCAACCAGTGTCCAGTCCAGTCCAGCCGAGCAGTCTTCGCAAACTGGCAGTGGACGCCCTTTGTCCGCCTCCAGGGACGCTAGAGTGGCATGTCTGCGCGAAGAGCGTGGCTTAGCAGCTGCTTTCATCCGCTCTTTGTTCTCCGTGCTATACGAGGTGTACTCCTCGAGTGCTGGGCCAGCTGTCCGATGGAAGTGTCTTCGAGCCCTACTCAGGATGGTGTACTACGCGTCGCCGGAGCTGCTCAGGGACGTGCTGAAGAATCAGGTGGTCAGCAGTCATATTGCTGGTAAGTACCTTCTTAATTGCTTATATTATTCACATACTTACGCTGTTGCTTTCCGTCCTGCGTTTATTTTAGGAACAATGTTGGAGAAACAAATTCGACGATTGCTTTTATTTTTTAGGCATGATGGCATCGAGTGACTTAAGGATAGTCGTGGGAGCTCTACAAATGGCCGAAATTTTGATAACAAAGCTGCCAGAAGAATTCGGGGTTCACTTCCGACGCGAAGGCGTTCTACACCAGATCAATAGATTGGCAGACCCTGAAGTGCCCCTAGGTGTGAGCCCGCCTAAGTCGAGTTGTAGTTCGACGTCATTTTCGGCCGCATTGAGCGAATCGCAACCCAGTACTTCTCAGCCGTCTAGTAGCACAACGGTGCCAACGGCCAATGGGTAAACATAATTTAGTTTTATTTATTTTCGTCTAATATCCCCGTGTATTGGTTTACTTGCGCGCTTCAACGTTTATTAGCTAATCGCTTCCAACAAACTCAATGATTGAATTTACTGGATACGTGACCAATTGGACCATAACTGAACGTTTTTCATCCATTATTATCATCCTCTACTCCGTACAAATTCACTTGATGGCAATCCTTTCCAATAAATGCTTGGAAGGAGAAGATGTACCTGACGAGAGAAGAACGGCCTACATATCACGTGTATTCAAAAATGGTAATAGAAGTGAATGCGATAATTATAGAGGACTCAGTAATGTATGTTCCTTTGCAAGGCTTTATGATCGTAAAGTCATAAAAGAAAGAATAGAGGAAGAACTCGAGGACTCCGAGGAACGAAATGGGTTTAGAGCAGGCAGGTGTCTGTTCTAAAACAATTACTAGAAAAAAAAAACTATCATGAGTACGACCTTATATTTGATCTGCAGAAGGCTTACGCACGGTCCCATTAAGCAAGTTGTGGGTTGCGTGAGAAAAGTCAGATATCAGCAGATGCTATATTTCAGACGTAAAAAAAATGTATTTGGACAGTTCTATTGTTGTAAAAGAAAGATGCTCTCTTGCCCCTACACTTATATTTATTTGTACGCAGCGAATTAACACTTTCTAACAATGCTTTAATCCAGAAACGTTTCGATGCAGAAAAGAAAAATGTATAAATGTAATATGGCTGGCTAAGGATCATCACTATATTTCAAGCCAAATTAAAATAAAACAATTAACAATTTTTGACTATGTTAACCGTCTCCACCTTCTGAGTACAGTCCTAAGTTTGATGTGAGCTTCAACCGTTTCATTTTTCCTAGCAGTACACACAAAGATTTCATTTATTGATCAGCTGTTCAATAGACGTCAAAACGTAATGAAGTAACGTGAAAAATGCCTTGCTGTCCTCAAATACGTGCGCCTATTCGTGATCGGTATTCATGTCCTAACGTATTTCCTCAAATGCTAGATCTGCAAACTTGGTGAGTACCCCAGTATCCTCGACCGTATACACGCCGTCAGAGAATCAGAGACTGCATGATTCGGATTCGAACTCTCCAAGCCCGTCTCATGTCAGACTCAGCGACGTATTGAAGAGAAAAAGGGCTGCAAAACGTGCTGGAACTGCTAGTAGATCGAAAACTAGACATGAGGACCTTCCTCTGTCACCCAGCTTGGTACAGGATTTGTTCACGAAAGCTGCTTCCATAGGCAATTCTACGCCGAGCAACTCTTCTAGGCCTAGGTAAGATTACAGGCATAATACAGTTGACGTAAATGGAAAAATATAAAGACACAATCCACGTTTTTAGTTTTTGTTGGTTTCAGAACAGTGACGCCTTAGCGCAAACGTAAATGTTAACGTCGACGTTCAACTCATGAGATGTCACTGGATTATAGGTTATAGTTAACGTTTACGTCTATGACTGCGGTATTTGTGGTTGCCAAACTCTTTAAAATCCTAATTATCAATCTTTTCGAGAACGCTTTATTGTATGTTTTTGGACTATTTTTATTCTAAAATCTAAATACATAGGTATTTGATTGAGCTTCTGACAATGATCTACTTCTATTTTTCAGATATTCTGGATCTGGTTCGAAAGGAGGTTTTCTGCAAAGCTTAAATCCTGCTAGGTGGGGTAGAAGCGTAAATTCAACTCACGACCGAAACTACAGTAAAGATGCACTGAACAATCTCTCAAAATCGGCTTCGAACTCGCATATAACTGCTGGAAATCGAGAGAAGACTAGGACATGGATTAGAGAGCAAGTGAGTGAACGATCATTACCCACATCTTTGAAAAACTGAGAAGTATATTTCAGGGAAGTCATTTTTTTACTTCCCACTCCTACTGGCGAGGAAGTATTGTAATCGCAAAAAATTCGAAAATCAGATAGGCTTTTTGGATGCTATATGAGATGTACATCACGAAAACCAATGTCCTTGCCCCTTTAATTTGGAAAATCTCGTTGGGCTTGGATGAATTTTTCATCATAGCCCTCCCTGTACATTTATCCTCAAAACTCAACATATATACAGTGAGGTTCAAAGGAGGAGGGTTGATAAGTGCCCTTTTTCGCCCATAACACACTCAAAAATAAAAAGTTCGATTCCAGACTACTATTGAATTTATTTGTGAACTTCAAGACGTGTATTTTTTCATTATATAACATTTACGGTATAAATAATGTAATATGCTCCAGAAATTATTGCCAAGAAATTGCAATGTTTTTCGATCTTTGAATCATGTTTTCCTTACGAAGCGTTCCATGAACCACATTAACTTTAATGCTCAGTGAGACTGCTTATTGTAAGCGTGTATATGAGTATTTATTTGTTTTGGTTCAGTGAGCGCATCTATCAAAAAATATGTAATATATGCTGCGGGAGAGAGAGAGTCACGCTGTAGTCGCTGCATGTTCAGACATGATTTTTCGTCCTCGAAAAGTATTTACGTAGTAAAGGTATAGAAACTGTGATGTGCTGTCGCGTTCAACGTTTATTGAAAAACTTGATAAAACAATAATGTGATTGTTGTAAAACGTGGCGAAAAACAAACAGTGATTTCCGTAGCTGCTCGTACAAAAACATTATAGCAATACTTGGAAAATCTAAGTTGTGTCCTAAATGCAGAACATATGCACTCCGCGTGGCTCAATCTCAAAAGACTCGCACTTCATCTTCTGTAAGGACAACATGAGTTCTTACTTCAACAAGTACCTCTGATGATACTGAAGGACGGTCTGATAGTGATTCGAATGAAGAAGACAAGGAAGAAGATTAGTAAAAAATATATTAAGTGTATGAAAACTGATTATCTTTTATTATTGTTTAATAAACATCTATAACACTCAGATCATTATTTAATTTATGTATACCACAAATTTTAGTTTTCATTTGAAATAAGTATGTTTTCTTCTTTGTTATGGAGTATACTATTCATAAATGTATATGTCATATCTATTCTCTGATGGGCGAAAAATGGCTCTTATCAGCCCATCTCCTTTTTCAGCCTAACACACGTATTACTTGCTTTTCGCGCTTCTCTCTCGTACACATTATGACTTCAGTGGTATGTGGATTTCACTGTATGGCCATAGCTAACTTTTTTTCTCAGAGGGGCTAACTTGTACCGAACAAAATCTTTTACGAACTGGTTACAGCATTCTCTAGGTTCAGGGAAGTACAGCGTCAACTTACTTGACGTAATTCTTTATTTTTTTCAGGCCTCGAAGTTTATCGATTCATATTCGAGTACAGAAGACGAACCCCACCCAGCTACAAACGTCATAACGCGTTTGAAGCTAGCCATAGAAAAGTTACCGACTGCAAAGTGCTCCGAAGCATTGTTGGAGCTACGTGATATACTAATGGAATCCGATATATCGCCGTTTGAGGTCAACTACTCAGGGTTGATAAAGGCACTGCTTTCTTTCTTGGCTGAAAATACCGGATCTTATGACCGGGAACAAAAATTAAGGTAAAGTAGATCATAAAATTCAATAATATGTGGCAAAAAGTAGCAGCAGCCGTCATATATATATACTCGTATATATATATATATAGGTGAAAAATTAAAGCTTCAGCCTTTTGTTGGGTACTTCGACAAAATTTAAGCAAAGAGGACTCTTTATACTTTTTTTAATTCTCTCTAGCTTTCAATGGACTTTGCCATCATCATCAGGAGCTGCAATTATAATGATAACAGTAGCAACAAAAGTGTAAAATGAATTTAAATTGAATCAACTTACAGTAGTATGTGAGGATGTTGCTAATTGTTGTTTTCGTATAGGATGAGGGAAATGCCCAGTAATATGGTGAGAGCTGGATACATGGTACAATGGTTAAAATTATATGACAAGACAAGTTGATGACAGATTAAAAATTATTTAGAAAACATTAGAGCATTACGTTGTGAAGCTACTTGATGATTGCACAAATTGGTGGTCATGGAATAATGAGTGAGATGAACCTTTGACAGAAGGCCGAAGGTTGTCAATGTCTGTGTTGAAAGATGGAACGAATTGGGGGCGTGTGCCAAAACGTTGCCAAATCACTTTAGATGATGTGATTTTCAGAATGTTATGTAAGAAATTGTTAAACCGACCAGAGGCAGTTGAATAAACTATATTTTAATTAATGGGAATTTTAAATTCTGGTCTAGACGACAATGACCACGTCTCAAAATATATATATATATATATATATATATATATATATATATATATATCAGCCGCATTATCATATTGCAACAGAGAATAATAATAAAAGTAGACTGTCACACTTATATAAAATGATTATCCTTACTATTTGTGTATCTCAAAATCGAACGAACCATTTTCAATTAGTAAAATAAAGTTAATATTTTTTTTCTAGGATACTGCTTAATGTGTTCGCAAACTGCCCGCTAGATTCGACAGTGTCTGAAATTTCAGATATAAATTCTACTTGGATGAGCGCTCTAGTGGCTAAGTTGAACGGTTGTGTTTCTCAGTTGGAGCAGTTCCCTGTCAAAGTACATGATTTGCCAGCTGGGTCTAGTGGAAGAGGTGGTACTAGCGCTTTGAAATTCTTCAACACACACCAATTGAAGGTAAAGACAAAATTAACTTCTCAAAAGTTCTGTGTATTTGTTAAACGTGCTACATTACACTATGGGTCGAACAAGGAAAAATGTCCGGCTGTAATCTGTTATTTGCGAAAAATAGTGTGAAACATAATGTTTTATTTTATCAAGTTATTTTATCGCTAAGGGAATGAATTTGGACCATGTTTTAGCTCTATAACACTAACAGATTAAATTTTTAACACCAAAATCGGACAAAGAATTTTCAAATTATTGCTATAAAACCACTATAAATCAGAAAATGTATATATTATAAAAGCACAATAAAGTCCAAATAAAAATGTCTTCAATTTTTGTTTTTATTGACGCTTTTTTGAAAAAAATGTGATGTTTTTAAATCTATTCTACAGGTCAGGGAAGTCCTACGATTGTCGGCTGCTGTTTATTTTGTAGAGAAGGTATTGTAGTTGCATGGTAGTAATACAGAGTATCATACTGTGATTTACAATAATATATAACAAAGATGTCTAAATTTTATTGCTAAAGTTTCCAATACAATGAAAATAAATGCAGTTATAGTCCTACAACTATTATTTAATAGAGCCGGGGAGATGATTTTCCTTATTCAAGATATCGCTAATAGTTCATTATAAATAGTAAAACTTACGGTATACTCAAGCATTCGGTATATAAATTGAGATAGTCAGAATGAGAATATGCTTGATAAAATCTATGCACTCTCTGAAAAATGTTCAATATTTTCAACGAATTATGGTTATTGTATTCTTATTTCCAAAATTTACAACCGTTGGCAATAAAATGATTACATAGTTCCAACATCGCTTTACCTTTCTCCTGAAGAATAAAAAACTACATCAATGTTTATAATAGTTCTGGTCTGCATTTCTTGGTTTATGAAGCACTGTCTAGTGCAGCTAGTGAGGGCGAGCATTTGTTTTACACAACATTCGCTAAAATGTTTTCATACCAAAATATGTCCACTAATCGCAATTGGGATTCATGTCTGCTTGAGGCTTTAGTTGTTACTCAGTATCATGGATGAAGGCTTACTTCATTCTGCAGGCATTCAGGGTTGTCTCTATTGAAAGTTGCTTATGTCTACGTTATACACTAATGGACAAAAGTATTTAGGCAAATTAATATTGTGCTGTATTTCTTTTTTAACTTGTTTTATTAATACACCAACCTGTATACATAATTCGTTATAGCATAATACTCACTTATACATAAATAAATTCATTAGACTCCCTTCAATAAAAAATTAATTGAAAAAAACTGGAACTACGAAGGACAAAAATATATAGACAAAGCAAAACAATTATAGAAAAAAGAAGCAAAGTTCATTGAATTATAGAAAACCAACCATGTTTGTGTTAATATTTTGTAGCATAACCATTATTATCAATCACCGCCTGGCATCGTCTCGGCATAGATTGTAGAAGTTTCTTGATATAAGATTCATCAATCTGTCTCCACTTTTGCTCTAAAGCGGCAAAAATTTCATCCTTGTTTGAATAATTTTTATCTCGTATTTGCTTATCTAAGTATTCCCATAGATTTTCAATGGGGTTTATATCGGGAGACTGTGAAGGCCATTTGAGAACTGGTATTTTTTCATCCAGAAAGAATTTATTTGCGAGATTTGAAGTGTGCTTGGGGTCATTATCTTGCTGGAAGATTGATCTTAAGGACATATTCTCTTCCACATAGGATAACATGACATGTCTGTGTATACAAACTTATCCATAATGCCATCTATTCTATGTGAAGGTCCCATCCCAAACCCCGAAAAGCACCCCCAAACCATAACAGACCCGCCTCCATGTTTGACAGTGGGCAAAGTGTACATGGGGTTCAATCTTTGTCCACTAGGACGTCTAAGGTAATGAACACCATCTGATCCAAACATATTGAACTTGGATTCGTCACTGAAACATACCCTCTTCCAGTCACAGATGCTCCAATCAAGATGCAAATTGCAATCGGTCCTTACGGTTTTTCCTCGAGCGGCTTCTTACTCGGGCGACGTACAAATAACTTCAAATCATTTAATCTTCCACTTATAGTTTTCGTAGAAACACTGACAATTCCTTTCGTCTCGATTTCGGCTTTTATTTGTCTTGGGGTTTTAACGGATCTTTGGACGAAATTACTTTTATTAATCTAACTGATCTAGGATTTGGTTTTCTAGGCCGACCACTTCTCTTAGAGGCTTCCAAGATACCTTTTTGTTTATATTTGTTCAATATTGCCCAAACTGCATTACGCTTCAGCTTCAAATTTTTGGCAGTGTCGACTTGACGTTGACCATCTTTGTATAACTCAATGATCTTAGTTTTCACATCGAAAGAAATTTCTGGACCACGCAGCATGGTCTTAAAATGACTTAACTTATTCCACAATACTTGATGAACACAAACTAATCCTCTTCTGACACGAAGCTGTACTGAACTAATGTTGAAAAGAATTTGTCTACATATTTTTGTCCCTCATAAAAAGTGCTTATATTCAGACTTGTATTGTGTTCATTGCAGATAATGTAAAAACAAGGAATTTAGTTTTAATTTTTAGTACTAATAACGCATTTGTTTATGGAGCAATGAAGTATGAATTCGTTTTCTAAAGGTATTTAGGTAAATATTCATATTTGTCTATATACTTTTGTCCGTTACTGTATATGACTATAGTAATAAAAAGTGATGGTTTGTTGAAATTTTATTACTTAAAATCTAAAATCATCTTCCTGCTCCCCACTGCATCTTTAGAGTTGATTCTGTGCAAGTAAGCTTTGGAATGGCCCCATTTAATAACAATAATTGTAGAAAAAATCAAATAACACATTAATTTTAATTGATTTGTAGTTGTACATTTTTAGTAATTTAAATTTGTTTTTTATATTTTTTAGTCTCAGTAAGCTAAATTCTGTTTTACTATCATACAACTGCAGTATCTTCTCTAAGCACCAGCCGACAATCGCAGAACTTCCCAGAGCTGTAGAATAGATCTTAATAGAACCATTTTTTTTAAACTGCAATAAAAATAAAAATGAAAGATATTTTGACTTGAAATTTATGGTGCTCTAATGACGCGTCAGGCTATATATTCGTCACCGAGTTAGACGACAGTGTCATTCGAAAAGATGTGATCAAGGTAAATAGTAAGTTGTTTGATTTTTAGCGGTTTTATTGCAATACCTTAAAAATTCTTTGCCCGATTTTGTTGTTAAAAAATGTCATCTTTCTATGCGGGCTAAAAAAGGGAGCAAAGGTTCATCCCCTTTGCGAATAACTTGATGAAAAAGAAAAATTATAAAAATGATTTTCAACAATATTTTTCGCAAATAAATTATTGAACATTTTTTTCCTGGCACGAGCCATATTCTCGAAGAGCAAACCTTTTCACAGGTTTTCGGCATTTAATTTGTCCCCTTACAATTTCTCCCAACAATTTTACTATATTTCTTAGAATAGCTAGCAACATTTAGCAATATTAAATATGGCAGTGCTATGTTGCTACACACGTCCGACCTATTTTCATATATTGCTGTCAAATTGTCGACTTATTGGAATCCTACTTGATGTACAGGGTACGGCAATGAAATATGGTGTTTTTGAAAAAATTTACACAGTTTCATTTTATATCAAAATTTATTTAAGTATACATAACATAGTTAGGTGCGAAAGATTACATCAGTTAGGTGGCGTCCATTCTTGTCGATGCATTCTTGGAGACGGATTGCTAAATCGTCAATACTCCTTTCGAGCATGGCACGAGGTATCCTTTCAATTTCGCGCGTTATGGTTTCCGAAAGAGCCTCGAGGTTGTTCATGCAGTTCTCCTGGCTTTTCTGGTGCCCAGTATCGCAAGTTTCAGTTTGTTTACCATCCCCGATAAATGAAAATGGACCTCGTCACTCATGAACAAAACGATGTTGCCGTGCAGCAATTCCAGCATCCTTTCTGCGAACCTTTGTCGTCTTACAAAGTCATTTTGTTGCAGCTTCTGAACAACCATAATTTCATATGGATGGAAATGGAGGTCCAAGTGTAAGATTCTGCGAACTGAATGGTCTGACATTCTCAGAGCGCGAGCGTGACGTACCGCTGAACGGCGTGGGCTGGTTTCCACCGCTTGTTTGCACTCTTTCAATGTTTTCCGGGGTTCGCACCGTTAGATCTCTTCCCCGTGCAGTCCCAGGTCTCAACGATCCGGTTGTTTGAAATTTATTCACCCACTTCAAAATGGTATCGCGTCTTGGAACGCGACCATGCCGACCAATGTCAAAATGGTTTCGAAATCGTCGCAGTGTGAGGACAACAGAACGACCAGTTTCAATAAAAGTGTTGTAAATAAACACGCGATGTGCCACAGACCACGGCTACCTAGCTACTAAAATGGCATCGCGGAACGAGTAGATATCAACCATCGTGAAAACATTCCCTTGACATTGCTGCACGTAACAGTCGTTTCAAAAACACCATACTTCATTGCCGGACCCTGTATTTGCCACGACGTGTGAATATCGTCTGTCATTCTTGTCTAATTGTGTAGCCTTTCTGGTGAGATATTATACTGAAAAAGTGTCTAGACGTAGCAGAGTATTGCCAAGATATAGCCGATCTATAACTGATATTGCCAAGATATATTGCCATAATTATAGCCAAATATTGCTACAAAAATACTGCTAGATTAGATTCTCCATGATTTTCGCACAGGCATGGCTTTCATTTGAGTTGGGGTATCCATCAGTGATATCACCAAATATGTGTGACCTGCAGTCTTGAAAACAAAACAAAATATGTTATTTAGAAACCAGCCCAAATTTCCAATTTCTTTCAGTGCAACTTGCAAAGACATCCAGACTGCACAAATTTGAAGATGTGGAAAGGAGGTACTGTAAAGATCGATCCTTTAGCACTGGTGCAAGCCATTGAACGGTACTTGGTTGTAAGAGGTTACGGTCGTCTCAAAGATAAGGATAGCGCCGATAGCGACGACGGAGACTCCGATGATGACATCGACGATACTCTAATTATGATCTCGTCCACGGGCATGCGACACAAGTTACAGTTCCTAATAGGCAACAACGTCCTGCCCTACAATATGACTGTTTACCAGGCTGTGAGGCAATTTAGCAACAACGGAAATGACCAGAGCGAGACGGATACTGATAATGAAACTCCGTTAGGTAATGCAAAAATTTATTTACAGATTATGTATGAGACATGTCTGATTTGAAAAAAGTAGCTTTCTTAATTTCATTTTGATTATGCCCAGCACTAGAACGTCGAAGGACGAGGGCTCTATTTTTTTAAAAAAAGGTCAACTCGAAAAACATTTTGACAATACACGGTACTCCTTAATGATATGCGAATATTTAAGGGAGTGAATCTACATGAAAAATTAATGTTAGTTTGCTTTATAAACTATGGTCCAAAAATGTTTCCTTACAAAAACTCGGGGTATTGAAGTTTTAGGAAAAAAATGGAAATTAATTAATATTTTCAGAACCGCTTCAGGCTTCAGATATTTCACTGATATATAGTAAGTACATAGTGAAAGTTAATAAAGTTGCATATTTTTCAATGCAAAAATAATTTTTAACTTAAACAGTGGCGTGCGTACGGGTATCAACCTCGATATTTTTCAAGAAAAAATGGGTACATGCATGATGGTGCAAATCGTTGGATTGGCCGCGGTGGGCCCCCAGAATGACCACCAAGGTTCCCAGACCTCAACAGTTTAGATTTCTTTTTGTGGGGCTATCTTAAGGCTCTAGTGTACACAAGTCCCATTAACACTGTACAGGAATTAAGAGAAAGAATAGTTGCATCTTGTGATAGAATAAAAAACACTCCAGGGATATTTCAACGAGTGCGCAATTCCATGAGGAGGGCGGAAGCATGCATACTAAGTGAAGGGGGCTATTTTCAACAGTTTTCGTAAACATTTCGTTGGTTTTAATGTTATGTTTATGTTGTCAGTTGTTGTTGTTCATTACCCCTAATGTGTTTCATTTTTCCAATTAAATTAATAATAATTTTGCAAGTTAGACAATAGAACGGTTTTTTTACTCAAAAATGGCACATCGAAGGAAAACAATTCAAGAGAGATCATTTGTTTTAAATTGAACGGGGAATCCAAAAATAATTTTTATTTGGCAAAAAACCATTTTTTTCTTAAATAATATCGAAGTCAATACCCGTACACATGCCACTGTTAAAACAAAAAATTGTTTTTGCAAGGAAAAATATGCAACTTTATTAACTTTCGCTACGTACTAAATATCAGTGAAATATCTGAAGCGGTTCTGAAAATATTAATTCATTTCCATTTTTTCCCTAAAACTTCAACACCCCGAGTTTTTGTTTGGACCATAGTTTATAAAAAAGCAAACTAACATTAATTTATTAGATTTTTTTTTTATTAGATTCACACCCTTCAATATTCGCATATCATTAAGGAACACCCTGTATATTAATGACATTGTTGTTTTCTTCCTTTATTAGTTTTCGATATTTTTGGATCCTCTCAAAATAATTTTTCACTAGGCCCTAAGTGACCAGATCGTTGGAAAACGTCAAAAAACATTCCAGATTTTTAATCAATGTTGAAACCCCCAAGAAATAAATTGGGAATGCCCAAAAATGTCAAAAAGAAGTTTTGGAACTTCGTGAAATTTTTTTTTTCGCTACTAATTGCGCCGTCAATGAACCTATTTTTAAAACCTACAAGAATTACCAGACGAATAACATACAGAACAGGCCAATGGAAATGAGTGACATGGTTTTTGGTATTGCTTATACACCTACTATGTACATCGAAAAAATATATCTCAATTTCGAAATTTGATTACGATTCTCCCTTACTATTTAGACAGTTTCCTATTGTTAAAAATACTTCTAGTTTCACTTGCATATAATGGTAACTTTCACAAATCTGAAAGGTATTATTCCGATCATTTAAAATATAAGAAAGGTATGACATTTTCTGTGTTGGGTTTTATGGTTTCTGAACCACACCCATGCATTTCCATGTCGACACAGACAGGGTAAAAGGATTATTTCCCCTCCAGCCACAACATCATCACTATAACAATATTCACGTTATCTCGAAAAGCATTAATCTAATAAATCCCCGTTCTGGTTTAGATCAGTTAGGTATTTATCTACACAATATTTATTCTTATCCGTTTTACCATATTAACTAAATACCTACTAACATCAAAATGATATTTACAGTGGTACAATGATATTTCCGAAATTTTATCGTTCCTGCCCCTGTTCATGATCCCGCACCACATCCTTCTAATTCTATCTTTTGGCACAGGTAAACATATTTTTCTGGGGCTCATATGCCTGTATTTGTACACCCAGGTACAATTAAGTATTGTCTGACCCATTCTTACCGTAAAACATAGATGCCGAGCAGAGCATCGGTTGTAATGGCGCAACGCGTGCGCGCCATGCGCATCGCTTTGCGGAACTTCTGGATAGCATAACTTAGTCATTTTTTCAGATACTACATTTTTTTTTGAGCGCTGTGTTTGAACTGTCATTCTAACTATTTAAAAAAATAGTAAATTTCTGTAATGGTGCGGGTGATAAAACGTATAAAATATGTAGTGATATCGCTAGTTAAATATGGATTAAATAATTTTTATTTTAGGCAATGCTGGAATTTGGGTCCAAACTCACGTAATATACTATAGACCATTAAAGGAGGAGTCATCTTCATCTACTAAAGGTAGTGGAAGCGGTAGTTCTGGCCATTCGAGTAGAAAAGGCAAAGGCTCGTCTGGAAAGAGCACATCTAGGCGTAAAGGAGATGAGCTATGGAATGGTAAGAATTTATCGTTCACATTTTACCATTGATTAAAACTATGAAACATAAGCCGCAACTCGTAAAATTGTCAGATAATCATCTGCTTAGTAGTACTGTATGTTTTGTTTACAAAAACATTTATATACTTTTTTTGCAGAGGGTATAGCCCCAGCGATCCAGTCGCCCTTAGCTCCGTATCTAATCACACAACTTCCTGAGACAGTGACCATCCAAGATGCGTCACTGGAAGTACTCTGTCTGTTACGAATCTTGAACGCCTTGAATATATACTGGACGCACTTGTATCCAGCCGTCGAGCACAGGCACATCATACCTCCTGTAGAATTTTTGAACAGCAAGATAGCTGCCAAGGCTAGTCGTCAGGTAAGTTCGGTTATACTGAAGAGTTCTTCGGCCCGGTTTGTCAATTTGCAAGTTTACTTTCAATTTGGGTAACTACACCGACGATAAATAGAGACATTTGTGTTTATAAAATTTCCATTTCAGACGTTGTGATGTTGCTATTATGGTATTTTACGCTGTTGCCGTCATTTAAATGTGGAAAACCGAACGAAAAGAAACTTCTGGTTTTAGTACTGGAAATAGAAAAAGTATATTTCACGTCCTAACGCAACTGTAACCTTCAATATTTAAGCTTAACACGACCTTGACTTTGAGGTCAACGTCACATTGAGAGTAAAATTTTCTGCTTTTTTGATTTCCAGTATAAACATGAGAGGTTCCTTTAGAAATTTTGACATGCTCAAGGTCACCTTTGGTTGATCCCCACAGACCTCACAACTGTGCTGTCGTAGATTTTTGCTAGAGCAAATTGTTTTTGATGTCTTCATTTGACCTCAAGTAGACTTTGACCATAATAGTTAAGGTCATGGCCAATATAATGTTTGGATGTAATATTGTAATATTTGCCACTCTTTCCAATTCTGGCGAGGAAAAGAGGGTTCCATTTGAAAATATTGGCTTGACCTTGAAATGAATTTGAATTTTGAAATATTCACGTCGGGAGATTAAAATGGGGCTCCGTGCATACGCGTCTAGAAAGTATGATGCTCCAAAGGCGACCATGAATATGAAAGTGTTCGAGCAAATATCGTAAACAGTTGCAAGAGCAGTCCACCTATATCCAAGACTTTGTTTGAAGTTTGGCAAGGTTGGGTTCGTGACTTACGATACCTGGCTTGACCGTGACCTTCGACTAATTTTACAATGAAGTTTCATTCACAATTTACCTTTATTGTGTGTGTTCATCGTCAAGTAAATTATGTTTATGCACTTTTAAATTATTTGTATTTGTTGACCATGGTGCGCTAATGCTGCGTTTGCAAAATAATTGAAATTAACAATTTGAGGTTATGAACTCCGTTGGAGTGGGGAAGCTGTTTGATGGCTTTATGATTTTATTCAAAATGGCTTAACTTTACATTTGAAGCTCTTGCTCCGTTGCTTTTTTAGAATGCCTACTGAGCTTACAAGATTTATACGAATTTCTCCTTTGAGGTTTGAGAAAGTTCTCAAAGTAAGCTGGTCTGAGTGTGATAGTATTTTTATTATGATAAGCCACTGGTTAAATGTCATTCTTTCTACCGTGGCACCCATTTTGTTTTTCTGGCCAGTCTTCTCTACTCTATGGCCATAAAACGATGTTAGAAAATAAACATATCTATAACCATGAATAAACTGCACTGACTATCCTCTATATGCCTATATCACTTGGAAGTTAACTATAAGTTGCTCGAATATTCCTTTTTCAAGTTTTGGTTAACTGACTTGCAAGCGTTGATGCGGCAACGCCGCTTCTTTGTAGGAATTATCATGTTCTGTGCGTTTCGTGACACTTGATATTCATGTGTCGTATCATCCGTGACATTTCATGTAACTGTCAATCAAAATAGATTGCGGGGTAACTGGGCCTTAATGGCATTTTGATTTCGAAAGAATAGAAATAAAATTCGTTATCAGCGACTTCAAAAACATGTAAACTCAAATTAGAGCGCAATCCAAACGTTCGTTTACAAACATGCCCGTCATGATGAATGTTTTTGGAAGAGTTTACGTAAAATATTGAATTTATCTTCAGCTGCAAGATCCCTTGGTGATAATGACGGGCAACTTGCCAAATTGGTTGCAACAAATCGCCTCTGTGTGCCCGTTCCTGTTTCCATTCGAGACGAGGCAGCTGCTGTTCTACGCGACTTCGTTCGACAGGGATCGCGCCTTGCAGCGTTTGCTCGACATGTCACCAGAGCTCAGTTCGACCGACTCGCAGGAGAGGGTCACTCCAAGGCTGGATAGAAGGAAGAGAACTATTTCCAGAGAAGATATACTCAAGCAAGCGGAACAGGTAAGCACAACATTCAATATAAAACTTCAGTATTTTTTTCTAAATGAAGTCTGGTAGAGTACTGGAGAAGAATATTTTATTTAATCACCGGCTGAAATCTGACAGGGTGATTTTATTTAATTTCAGGTGATGCAAGATTTGGCGACGTCCAAAGCTTTACTTGAAGTGCAATACGAGAACGAGGTGGGCACTGGATTGGGACCCACCTTGGAATTTTACGCTTTAGTCTCCAGGGAGCTTCAAAAGACTAGCCTGGAGTTATGGAACGCAAGCCAAAGTGAAGGGGAGTATGTACATAATCCGATGGGACTGTTTCCCATTCCATTAGCGAGAAGTGCGAAAGTTAACCAGATTACAAGAATCAAGAGCAAGTTTAGGTTCTTGGGCAAGTTCATGGCCAAGGCTGTTATGGATTCCAGAATGGTAAATTTATTTATTTATTTCAACATATTTTAACACAATGAAACGTGAAAATAAATAAGGGACAAACATTTAGTGACTTCTATAATGAGCTATGTTTGTTGTTGAGCAATGAGGAAAGTTTTGGTATACATTTAGAACGAACCAATCATTGTAGATAACGTTCACGGCTGCATTTCATATCTAAAGGTGCGTTTATATCTGAGCACGCACGCACTGATCCACCGCGAATGCTCAAGTGTAAACGGCCATGCGCGCACGCTCACCCTGTATCTTCATGTGCGCGAGCAACAGCTAACGCGATTCGCCTGTTGTCGGTCTCAAGACGTTGCTCAAAGGAATTAATGGGTTCGCGAATGCTCACTGTGGACGGAAATGACAACTCGGCGCACAGGATTGAAGAGTTGATTGTATTTAGTCCAGTAAATGATGAAATGGAATAATAGTAAAGTTGCAAGAGTTTGAGAAATTATCGGTACTGTGGGACGTTAGGCACGAAGAGTATTATTCAAAATCGAAAAAAAAAATGGTGCATGGGAACAACTACTAATTAATTGTAGCATTGAAAATTTATACTGTTGCGAAGCACAGACAAACATTAAAAGTCTGATGGGATCATTTTGTCTTTAAAAAAAAAAGCAAAAGAATATTTTGACACTCTGAAAAGATACTGCAAGCTGCTGTAGGAATCTCCAGTTTCAAAAAAACACAAGGTTATGGCTAAATGTTTTCTTGGTGATATAGATTTTGAAACTGTGTATCAATTTTCATTGCCGTTGGTGTTACCAACGTAAGCAGGTATTCAAAGTCAGCCTTGGTCATTCTTGTAAAATTTCTGAATTGATCATACAGACTGTTTAATACTTATTCCTTTTGTTTGCGATTTTCTTCTCTTTTAATTAAATTATACATTATAATAAATGTTGCCGCGGCTATATCTTCTCCATGTTAGCCTCGTACGCGAACGACTGGATCAGCCCATGCGTTGAAAAATGAATTTCAGTTTAAATACTCTCCACGCACTCAAACGAATGCGTGCGAGCTCATATGTAATCGCTTCTTAAGAATCGAAAAAGTTTTAATCAACACTTGGTGTAAATAGTTACGCCATGCTACAAAATGTTAACCGATTTATTATTGTCAACAGTACAAAATTAACTCAATTAGGGCACTTAGACGTCAGAATTTGTTGAACCATCATGGCAAACGTGTATAACAAATCACAGAAGATGCCTTAAGATTTACATCGACTACTTTTTTCCAGTTGGATCTTCCATTTTCAACTACATTCTACCGCTGGTTGCTGGGCCAGGAACAGTGCCTCTCTTTGGCAGACCTGCAGTATGTAAACCCGGAAATTTATCGGACATTGCGAAAAATGCAGACATTGGTGAGAGAGCGCGACGTCATCTTGAACAATCCCGATCTTACACAGGAGGAGAAGAACGAGCAAATCCAAAGTTTGGAGTTTGACGGTTGTTCTGTAGAAGATCTCGGCTTGGACTTCATTATACCCGGCCACAGCGTGGACCTGATGAAGAATGGTCGAAATACTCACGTGACCATTAATAATCTGCATCTGTATCTTAGGCTGATGTCTCATTGGATATTGAACGAGGGTGTGGCGAGACAGATGGAGTCTCTCAGAGAAGGTTAGTCATCTAGCTTTACATATACCATTTGTCAATATTCTTCCATTACAAGAAATTCGAGGTAATTTTGACAGATCCCTCAGGATGACGTGATTTTGTAAAAATATTCAGTAACACCAGATTTGAAAAAATCATTTGAGGACTACTCTCGTAGATTTCCCATACAGGGTTTCCTAGAGGTCGACGTCAAGCCGGAAACGGGTGATAGGCCAAGTCATAATAGTTATCAGGAAAATATAAAAAAAATCTGAAGTCGTGTACATTACAAATTATAGGCTTTAAAAAAATCGAAAAAATCTACTCCCTGTGATGATTTTTTAGTTCTAATTACTACAAACTTTATGGGGTATGTAGATGCAATGCTATTGCTGCAGCTATCATGAGAGGTACCCAAATGCTACTGCACAGGGGACGATTCCCAAAACAAGAAGAAGGAAGAATTTACTTTCCTGACGAAGGCGACGTACTACAAGTAGTCGAGGAAGACTCGACTACTTCAGTACGTCAAATAGAAACACGACAGTTCCCAAAAGTACAGCCTACCGGATCTTGTGAGAGAAAGAGCCCCTCCCATTCTATGTACAGCGAGCACAATCTCTACAACCCCGGGATTATCTTCCAAGAATTGAGTTTTGTTAAACAATGTTACTCAGACACCGGGAAGATACGCAATTTTTAGAGAAAATTTACTGGACTGGCATGTGGAAGATCCACTTTTGATGAGACCAGATAGATCACAGTATCGTTTTAAATCATTCAAAAGACTTTGAAAATCTAGGAGGCCATAACGGCGTCCTACAATAATTGCAGGAACAACTGACGATATGGCCCTAAAAGATCGTGATAGGATTTAGATTTTTTTCGATTCTCTTAAAACCTATAATTTGAAAAGTACACATCTCAGATTTTTTTTATATTTTTCTGATAACTATTATGACTTGGCCTATCCTCCGTTTCCGGCTTGTCGTCGATTTCTGCGCCATTTACGAAAGTATATCGAGATATCACAATGTATAATTAGTATTTAGCAATACTGTATGTTCTCTTCCATTGCAGGGTTCGAGTCGGTATTCCCCTTGCAGAACCTACGCGTGTTCCAACCTGAGGAGCTAGAACTGGTGTTCTGTGGCAGCCCCAAGGAACATCAACACGGTTGGGACATCAAAACTCTGCAGGAGTGCTGTCGTCCTGATCACGGCTACACGGCTGATTCTAGGGCAGTGAAGTTCTTGTTTGACGTACTCAGCTCGTATGACGTGCAAGAGAGGCGGATGTTCGTGCAATTCTTAACCGGCAGTCCCAGGTTGCCAGTAGGAGGTAAGGATATTTTGAGGATTTTTTTTATTTTATCAAGATCAAGAAAATTATTAAACATTGACTCTATTTATTGTTACAAAACAAGAATGTTTATACACCTTGGTAAAAATAAAAGCGAGCATTCAACTGTCGCTTTCGAAAAAATTGGATCTGTCCATATGTACAGAACCAGACACAAAAATTTGAACACGAAACGTATTAAATCTCACGAGAGCTGAAAAAGCAGCGGAACTCAACTATTTAATAGAGTTTGTGAGCATTTAAACAAATAAGACACCCTCAATATTCCAAAATGGAATTTAAAAAATATTTATCGAATCTGTAATCTGATGTGAATGTTCTATTTTGTATTTTCAGTTGTTCCTCTATAAACTTGTAAAAGTTTCTTGAGATTAATAGAGTTGTTATATAACATTTAATATGACCAAAATGGACAGATAAGACACAAATATTTTTTGTATCTTGCATGGGTTCTTAAAATTGTACTCCACTAGTTTTCTCGAAACCAAAGTGATTTTGATTGAAAGTTTCTTGTGGAGTTTTTTTGTTATGTTCGTTAATAACTATTTTTTAATAATAATATTTTATTCACACCAGTTACAAATTGTGAACAAATTCATATGCCAGAAAAGGATATTTTTCTTATAATATTAATAATAATGATAATTTATTGGTGCTATTACACAGAAAGAATAAGTAAAAACAACAAACAATACCAACAATATGCTATCGCATAATGTTTTCTGGCATATCCAAATAATAAGAGTATGCTTCGATGAAACAGACAAGGGACTCCTACCACATAGGCTTGTCGTCACTGAGGAGAGCACTAAGTGCTACCATGCTACCTGCATTGACATACTGTTTGCTTTCTGCCTCTGTTACCATAACTAAGCAAGCAAGCGAAAAAATCAGTATTGTAGTGCGCGAAGAAGTGACATTGTCACCTAAGTGTATTTCGCCAGACGCAGGACCACCGACCCCTACATCTTTAGTGTTTCATTGAAGCTTCTGCTAATGGCCATGTTTACACCATAGAAAGCTAAGCCATATAGAATTAATAAATCATGTTATGTTGGTAATGCAGCACTCTGTTCATTTACATTGGCTAGCTACTGTGTATACATGACCAGCTGGAAGTTTTGAAATATTTAGTTGTCTCATTGTCTCAGGCAGATTGATCGCATAATGATTCGAATCCCGTCCCAAGCAAATTTTTGTCGTGGCTATGGATGTTGGAAGACGGTGTTAGACCGTCGAGGTGGAGGTACCTCCCGGCGGATCTCTGAGATAGCTCCAGGATGTGTACATATCACATACCCACGTGTTTCCCTGTTAGAGTCCGTGTGACTTCCCCCTTCCCCCGGTATCCCAATAGCTCCACGGTACCTGCAGATATTTAGGCATGTATGGTGGCACAAATATAAAAAAGTGGCATATAATTGCGTAGACTGTTCTAGATTTTAGTGGTGATAGAGTTTCTTTTTTTTTTTGAAGGTTTCAAATCTCTGTCACCGCCACTGACGGTGGTCCGTAAGACGCTGGAACCGAACATGAATCCGGACGATTTTCTTCCATCTGTGATGACGTGCGTCAACTACCTCAAATTGCCAGACTATTCCAGCATAGAAGTGATGCGGGAGAAGCTGCGTCTGGCCGCTTCTGAGGGACAACACTCCTTCTACCTGTCATAAGCAGCTCCCAGAGGACAGGGTGTTCAATGCAGCACATCGTGTGGGTTGTTCTTTTTTCATGTGCTACGGCTAGATTGATGTGAGATGTGCTAATGAAAATCGGTGATGTTGCCCTTCTAGGATTTGAACACAGAAGATGAGCACGATTCTTACATTCAAAAGCTGTGATACTGTGGAGGACCGCTGGGGGATACGAGAATATTAAATATCACATTTTTACATAGCATGTTCGATTACATTAGCGTTACTTTGGAAACGATCTGAATTTATAATTCTGGAGGCGTGATTTTCGGAATTTTCGCATTTTGCTAATATAGAAAAAAACACGTCACAGTATAGACCAAGTAGGCCAAGATTAAGTATCATTACCTTCCTCAAGAAAAAGAATGGTTTAAATTCATTTTGTATCAAAGTTTGTTAATACACACATTGGACTAGGGCTAGTTCTTAGCAATTTGCCGCAAATACGTTTAATTTCATTCCAAAATTAGTTTTTTGCATAATTCGGACACATCAGCCAAAAAATGTTAAGTTGGCCGCAATTCACCGAGACGTTGTTGGGTCAAGTATACTTACAGGAGTCTTGAAAGAACGTGGTAGCGTGGACAAGTAAATATTACTATTGTCAACACGATTTTTTTCATTGAAATGCCAGCGAGAATTAAGCCAAAAAAATAACCTCGAATTGGAGTATGGGTTTATCAGAGTAAACACAGCATAAGGTCATATGGGTGGAGAAGGACCCAGACTTTGAATCAGAAAATTTATATCTACATTTTTATGAAACGACTAATCTTCAAGAAAAAACGATTAAGAAACAACAGCCACTATCAAAAATGTTTCAACATTGAATTAAATTACATAAATGTAAATTTAAAAATTTATATCATCTGATAGATGATAGTATAAAAACTCTTTCGCGAAAATTGCATATAATAGTAATCATTCCTCATCCGCATCATTCACCATAGAATTTTAGATATTTGTAATTTACAATTTACTATCTTGAAAAATGGAGGCCATTAGGTCATAATCCATGCCATAGACAATCACGATATTTTAGAAAATTGGTTCAATAATTTTGTTATCCAGATCGATTTCCCAAGCTTGATACGTTTAATGTAGCTGAACTCGCTAATACATAAAATATTCATTCTACAGAATAAAATTTAATTTCTTCTGATTTGAGCTTTGTAATTGACTGCTTATCATTTACATGATTTCTACAGGTTTTTATTTGTTTTTGGATTTTACGAATATATTTTTTCAAATATTTGTGGTGTTAAAGGGTTACGTAGAAAATAATCAATATAAAATGCATAATAAAGTACAGTTATTAAAAATTGTCAGTAATCAATTTATGGGTTTATAATCAGTACTACCTACATTTCCTGGGATTCTTTCTACAGGATGAACACAAGAAGAAACACTGTATTAGTTATGATATCACCCCCTGAAATGGTAACTTAAGGTGTAATTATTAAAGAACATGTTACACATTAATTTATATTTATCAATGCAGTGTTTTGTTGAAGTGGTGGGATTTTTAGGAGGCTATCCGACTGATATGTGCAATGGACACAAGTGTATAATAGTGTTAAGACATCGCAACGAACAATTTTATTTAAAAATGCTAACTTTCGCATCTATTGCCAAATGTATAGTTTTACCGTGTCTGCGATTATGGCACAATTATATTTAATTAACAAAATGTAGTTTTAATTTGAAAAATAATGTTTCAATAAATTTGTACACATTATATTTCGTTTTATTGAATTTGCAAGCGGAGTAATCTAGAAAGCTACAAGTAGGTGGTTAGGTTAGCGGTCATATCTAAGGGGTAAAACAGCATACCTTCCTATCAAACATGTCATTTTTCATGACAGCTCTCTTCATACAGGAATTCGGAGTGGAGGGCCGATCTCTATCAAGGTGCTGGAGAAAAGAAGACTAACTAGCAGGTACTTCCTGTCTGACGAGAGACCTGGAGGTTATCATTACTTGGCGCGCAACAATCTGGTACAGTTTAATGCTTCCAAAACGGAGTTGCAATTACAATGATAACAGTAGCAACAATAGTGTAAAATGAATTTAGATTGACTTGACTTACAGTAGTATGTGAGGATGTTGCTAATTGTTGTGTACGTATAGAATGAGGGAAACGTCCAGTAACATGGTGAAAGCTGGATAGATGGTACAATGGTCAAAAATTATATAAAATATGACAAGAACAAGTTAAAAACAGATTAAAAATTTTTAGAACATGAAAGCATTACATCGTGAAGCCACTTGTCACACATTTGTGTGTATTTTATATAATTTTGACCATTGTACCATCTATCCAGCTTTCACGATGTTACTGGGTGTTTCCCTCATCCTGAACGTAAACAACAATTAGCAACATCCTCACGTACTACTCTCCTGATGATGATGGCAAAGTCCATTGAAAGCTAGAGAGAATTAAAAAAAGTATAAAGAGTCCTCTTTGCTTAAATTTTGTCGAAGTACCCAACAAAAGGCGGAAGCTTTAATTTTTCACCTATATATATATATATATATATATATATATATATATATATATATATAACAAAATTTCAGTGGCTGTCAGAGAGTTCATCATATTATTCCTTTTTCAATTACATCCGTACTAGTCCTGATAGGAGGAGATTCGTTGGTGCGCTCTTCTTTGATCTGTCGAGGGCTTTTGATACAATTGGCCCAACCCTTGTCGAGAAAATGTTTTTTTTGGCAATAGCTTTCGTGATAATACCCTGACATGGCTCACGTCGTATTTATTTAATCGAAAATTTGTTGTACATTTGAATAACTATTCCACAGATGAGTACAATGTCTCTCTTGGTATGCCACAACGGTCAATTATTGGCCCTTCGATTTTCCATCGAATCTACCATCTTACAGGTGGTAGGGACAGGGAAAGAATGTCTATGGACTAATTATATGGGGGCCTGTTTGACTTACTTTATTCGTTTAATCTCCGTGTTATACGTGTTCGTAACTAACTTTTTTCTCAGTGGGTCTAACTTATGCTGAACATAATCCCTTATGAACTGATGACGGCGTTGCGTGGGAAGTGCAGAGTCAACGTACACGACTCCATTTTTGAAGTACCTTAGGTTAGCACAACTGTGATAAGTCTCGTCTGGCAGATTATTCCATATTTTAGAGCGTAGCGGGTTATCGACGTACTCAAGAGTTAGAATAAGAAGCAGATATGAAGGCGTAGAAAGCGGTAGGCTACACAGATTGATTTAAAAACAGTGACAATATTTCTAAACATGTAACACGAAAATCTGCTATAAGCATGAGTCCAATGATACAAGGTGTTGGTCTGCGAATCAGAGACAAATAAGTTTGCAACACCCTATACGTCTAAATGGGGACGTTTTTTAACCTACCTTTAGAAACCTAATGCAATGTTTTACTACGTATCCTTATAGATATTGGTAACGTTTTTTTAATCTCCCTGAAGGTGAGTCTCTTTTGAATAAGCTATGTGATATGAAACAGTCTGTGAATCTAGAAAGAAATTCATCATAAATCCATCTGCAACACTTTACTAAATTCTAAAAATTATGATCATTCAAAAAATATCTCTTTATCTTTATTTCAATACTAGTTCCTTACATTAACTTAAGTTGGTTAGCTACAATTTCAACTTGGCGAAAACGTCATGTCCATATTACTGGCACTGGACTCTTCCAGTCTTGCAGCAGGAGGTGGTTCCTGTTCAGCACGTTTTGCTGCTATTGTCTTAAGAAGAGCCTTACCTTGTTCTTTCGTCTGGAAAAAAGCATAATATGACTATTTATTTTTCATATGAGAATTAATTTTATATACCTCTTCACACTCCATACATTTGTAAGCATAGGTATACGCGTCCTCCAACTCTCCTTTCTTTAAATGATAGTTTGCTAGGTACTGAAGGGCACCATAAAATTCTGTCTGATCTTCAAAACCTTTGGAATCTTTATCCTCTTCTCTCAAACAGAAATCAGTATATGCAGCTGCTGCATTTTCGATTTCATTGCACTTGTCATACAATCTGGAAAAGAGAAAATGACAAGTTTAGAAGATTATTATAGGCACTTATAAAGTACTGTCAAAAACATAAAACTTGTAATACTAAAATTGTACCTACTTTGCCAGTTTTAATAATGCTGTTCCTTCAACATCTCCCAGGACACAAGCCTTATAATAACATTTGAGAGCATTTTCGGTTTTGTCCAGTTTTTCGTATGCTTCCCCTAAGGCAATAACCATACGACTGTCATTGGGCTTTAACATCTGTGCTTGTTTGTAGTAGTACAGACAGTAGTTTGGCATTTTTAAAATCTCGTACGTTTGACCTAACCCATACCAAGCTCGGTAGTCCCTTGGATTAATGTCTGAAATAAATTCATTCTAGCTACACAAGTCTCAAGAATATAATTATGTTGTGAAACAGCTTATTACAATTTTTCGTACATATTATAGATATCCTGGTCTATAAGTGGATTAAAGCATCTGACATTTACCTATAGCATGCCTGTAGCTCTGAATGGCAGCATTCGTATTTTTCATCTCCATATACTCGTGACCCATCAATGTCCACGCAGAAACAAAATGAGGATTGAGCTTCAATGCTCTTCGAAAATACAATACAGCTTTGACATGGTCAGATCGCAAACTGTAATAGTTTCCTATAACGCAACATGTTTCTACACGATATTTGTCGACGTTCACCACTTTGTGCGCTAAGTCGGCAAGTTCTTTCTTTTTTTCAAGAACATATAAGAGATTCGAATATGTATCTAGGTTTTCCAGCCTATATGGGTCTAATTCTAAGATCTTCTGGAACATTTCAATGGCTTCATTCAAATCTAAAAAGCAAGCTACTGGTAAGTAATAATGTTCCATCAAAGATAAAGGTTCAACTTAGTGCTGATTACCCCTAATGCAGTAGAGTTGTTTTTAACAAAATATAATAAGAACTTTGGACCAATGTCTTAGTCAAATAAAATAAAATGAAAATGTATTTAAGCCTATGGTTGGCCGCCTGAGAATCTGATTAGATTTTAAAATTGTCATGTTCTTCAAAAAGTTTTGAGGACAGGTGCTTTTTTACAAAAAAATAGTCCCTTGCCAATGATCGCCCCCCCCCTCACAATACTTACTGCGAGCTCCATGTTTAAGTAAAAAAAAACTACATCCTTTAACAAGTGAACATTGTGTACATTAGATCTTGGACTAAAAGCTATTTTTCACGTACATTGCAGTAGGCTTGGCTTTAGTGCTAACCAATGTGACAGGTATTTTGAAGTATCCGAAAGCATGAACAAAATCGGAGAAAATAATAAAAGCCAAGAGGTAAAAATTAAGCAGTATAGTAATGGTTTTAACTACTTGGATATTCAAAGAAAATTTTATCCTAAGCCGGACATAATTTACTTGAAGATCTTTCCAGACGATCACCCACTGTCAGCTGAAGAACAGATATTTTACATAAAAATAACTGAAGCAATATTTGGGTACAACGAGCAAGTAAGAAATGAGAAACTCAGAGTTCTTGCGGTTGATTACGTGAAATTCTTGCTACCATATTTATGTATCTTCATCAGAGATACCATTCAATTAAACATTGCTTACCCAGACCTCACACTTTTGATATACTGTATGAGAATGACAAAGAGTTTATTAAGCAATCCACATTTGAATCTCTTAGATCAACTTCACATCATTCTACCAGCAATTTTGTCATGTGGATTAACAAGAAAGACTTCCAAGTACTACTATGACAATCACTGGACTTTGAGAGATTTTTCGGCTTATATGGCTGTTACAATATGCCAGAAGTTTTCAAACTCTTTAAACAATTTGACCAATAGAGTTATATTTTTGTACCTGAGACCACTGAAGAGCTACAACTGTCCTCTAACAACAATATATGGCGCCGTTAAAGGTATAGCTGCATTTGGAGAAGACACAGTGAAGATTTTTTTATTTCCTTACATCAACAACATCAGCAAGCGTATTTTCATGATTTTTGAAAGAAGGCAATACAATTTCCACTCTGAAGAAAAAATTAAGCAACAAATAATTGAAGCCAAGCATGTCCGCGACGCTATTTTATGTACTGTAGCACCTATATTATATAAGGCCAAAAACATTACTGATGGTGGAATCATGTATATGCAAATGTTTGGATATCTGGGAAGATTTTTGTATGCTGAAGTGAAAAACCTCGAAAAAATGGATCTTGAAAGAAAGAAGTTTGAGCAAATTAAAGCAGCAAGTAAAATATATGTTTATAAGGAATGCAAGGGAAACCACTAATAAGAGTTATATCAAACACTGGTGTCCTTTTGTAACAATTTTGGAAGCACTATACCTCAGAAAAGATATTGAGACTAAGAAAAATACAATTCATGGTCACTGTCCATAACTCCTATTAATTTGATTTATATAGATAATATGATTTCGTATTAGTTGTGCTATTACTTTAGTTATTATTTTCCATTTGATGTAATTTGATATTCAAGAATTCCATAACTATAAATAAACTCATGAATACCATTTTAATCTCATATAATGCTACAAGAGACATCAAAAGATGATGAATTGCTTTATTTTAAGATATCAAAATAGGAAGGTGACATGTCTTTTGATCATAAAATTAGAATGGATAAGTTTGTGACTGCAACCATGTTTGTGAAAAAATGTTCCTCGGTTCTTCTATCATTAAATGTTTCATCACAATGTTAACATTGTCTTCAGAGATGAGAATCATGAATGTTGTTGAGATTTCCACAATGTTTCTCCCAGAAATGACTTGATGAGCAGCTCTATCAGTGTTTAGAAATACTGTTCCCCAAAAAGTAAGGAACCATGCCCACTTTCTGTGGGTTATTTTTCTCCATGATTTCAAGAAATAACAATAATGTTACTAGCTCTAAATGGGTAAAACAAACAAACCTGTGAAGCAAACAAAAAATAGTAAAAAGGTGTACCAAAATTCAAAATGAGGCATGAAATTTTTTAAGTGAGCCAATGCCACTCATTTTTTGTTAGTCTGGTCTATTTGCCACTTTAGTTGAGATTTGAGAAATGGGTCAAATGCTTCATTTGAAGATCTTGACATAAAAACAGAAATAAATGCAGTATGATGTTTTACATATATTTTTACATTAAATCACATTGTACTTACTCCTTTGATTGTGATGACCAAGTGCAATTTGTGACATAACATATGAGCTATTTTGTATTCCTAGTTCAAAAAGTGTATCATATATTTGCAATGCTTCTTCATTATTCAACTGTTCTAAATAAGTATGGGCTAGGAAAAAGTACTTTATCCAATGATTCGGAAGTTCGGCAGCTATAATGGTTATCTTATCAGGGATGATTTTTCCTAATTCAAACCAAGCACTCCATAATATTGGTTCTAGCTTTACTGCTTTGATGAACATCTCTATTGCAAGTGGCAAGAGATCCATTTTCTTGAGAACTACTCCATATAAATACATGCAATAACCATCTAACTTATCATCAAAATAATCTATTTTTAATTCAGTACAAAGGTCCTTGAGTGCATCATTCTTACTTGGATCTGGAGGACAATTTGTATCAGTCATATTGTCTAGTTTTTTCTTTTCATTTGAAAGATAACGTGAATAGAAGTATAAGAACCGAGGCTTTGGTTTACTACAGTTTTTAACAAAATGTGCACATCTATCATACTCCTTCAAGTCTAAGAAGGATTTTGCTAACAAAAACTCTTCTAATTCATCATCTGTATTGTCTTCGAACTCGGGCATTTCTTCTCTCGGAATAGAAATATGTTTAAGAGCATAGTTGATCTCGGACAACCACTTCACTGAATGATACAGTCCTCTTTGCGAGCATTCATGGATACCTTTTGTTAAATCCTTTTTAACAATTCCAAAATCCAACTCAATATTTGTTGTTGAGGTCATTTTTCTGTTTCAAACTCTAGCTAGATAGTTTTCAATATATCGTTTATTTACGGAAAATTGTTTTAAAAATTCTAACCTCAAATCTTTTTCATTGACATTTGGCCATCTATTGAATACTAGTTGAGCTTTGGTTATAGTGATCTGCCTGGCAATTAACCGTTATTCATTTTATTTAAAGAAATCTTCATTCATTCCACGCTACACATTGTTGACGTGCTGTTGATCCTTTTGACAACATTGCATTCGTCCTTTGTTCATGATATGGATTTTTTCCATTTTTAAAATTGAAAAAAGCCATTCACTAGCATATCGTGAAATAAATGTAATCCTGTATTAACTGTACTGTTTCCAACATTTCTTCGACCAAGTGCTTATGCCATAAAAATACGACACACTTTCTTAGTCAGCTGTGAGCAAGTTCGAACTAAAAATCCTAACCTCTATCTTCCAGTCAGTCAAGGACGCGTGTTTGAAATTCGGAAAGTACAGCAAAAAGCTAGGCAAAAACGGATTTCTTGTATAATCCATTTGTACCACCATGATCTTATACTGCTGGGTAAGTTACATTCAAAATCCTAATCGCTTTTTTTAGTGAGTAATTCTGATTTTAGGGTGCTAACAGCTATGGCCAATTGGGTTTAGGTTATAAGTCTGATGGGGAGCTAGAACCAAAGGAAGTTTCCTTAACGAACTGTGATCTGAAGGTTGAAAACATTGTATCGATAGCCGGCGGGGCAGGCCATACCCTAATCTTAGACAATCAAGGGTGCATCTATTGCTGTGGCTGGAACTCCAAGGGCCAGCTAGGGCTGTCTGATGATACTCTAAAACTGACACAAATTGAAATTCTCAAAGAATACAAAATCGTCCAGATCTCCTGTGGTTGGGACTTCAGTGCTGCTATCTCAGAATGTGGGAAACAGTTTGTCTGGGGTAACAATGGCAATACACAACTTGGATTATCAAAGAGCATCACGTGTACAGGCATTCCATCAAGACTGCAAGTATCGCAAAAGCTAGCCACTGGCTTCAAGTATGTAAGTTGTGGGTTGCGCCATTCAGCAATGATAACTAAAGATGGAGGATTGCTGGTAGCAGGTGCTGGAGCCAAAGGTCAGCTGGGTATAGGAGACAACTTTGATGATAGCAATTACTTAAGCATATCCAGAGTACCAGAAATGGAAGATGTGATTAGTGCTGCAAGTGGGCAGCACCATACTGTTGCTCTTAAAAGCAATGGAACTGTACTTAGTTGGGGTGAGAACAAGTATGGGCAGTTAGGTGTAAATTCAAATGTATCAAGCAGTTTTGTACCTTTAGAAGTGTTTAGTCATGAGGGACTAATATCTGTCCATGCTGGCTGGACCCACACAGCAGCTCTTGCTAATACTGGTGTTGTCTTCACTTGGGGTAGGAGTTCTTATGGTCAGTTGGGCGCAGAAAGAGAAGTGCCATACAAACCTGAAAGAATTCCTACTTTGAATGGAGTTAACCAATTGAGTCTTGGATCTGAACATAATCTTGCTGTTACAAAAGACAACAAATTATATGCTTGGGGCTGGAATGAACATGGTAGCTGTGGTACTGGTGATAATAAAGATGTAAAAATCCCAAAACAGATTCTAGTTGATAAAAATGTTAAGTTAGCATTTGCATGTACTGGTAGTTCCTTTGCAGTTGTTGAGTAAAAATTGTAATTCTGATTCTCTTTATTGGTCTATTCATGTTCATAAGTATTTTTATAACAAATTAATTATGTATCCTCTATTTTTATAATAAAATGTGTTGCTTGTGTTTGTATTGATTTTTGATGTTGCTATAAACATCATCTCTTTGTTTGTATTGACTTGGATCAATGACATTTGTCAGTTTATTGTGAAAAATGTTGAATGCTTTTCGCACAAGAAACAACTGGTAAATATGTATATTCATTTACTTTAACTCAGAGAAATTCAATATTTGATACTGACATATTTTTGGAAAATATTTTTGAACATAACTGTTGATTGAAAATCTATTTATATGCAGTGAAACATTGTGATATCACATTTGGAGACACAAATACATATTTCCCAACACATTTTTCCGTCATTTATGGATCTTATTTGTATACTATTCTTTAAAATTTTATACTTGCTGTATTGTTTGTCAATTTGATTGTGATTAAAGAGAGACTTGATATTACTATGAGTTTTATTTCTCCACACTAACCCTTACTTGTTTTCAGTGAAATAGAGGCAAAGTTTATCCAAAATCGAATACATACAGTAGAGAAGAACATTTCAGAGCTTTGTAATGTTTTTGCACAGTATTCTAGGAAAGCAGCCAGGGTACGGGACAAAGGTTTGTTCAATTATAGTAATTGGTCAGATATTCAATCTTAATGCTTTATCATTCAAAGATTTCGAAAATGTGTGTGCTATTTCAAATAGAAATTAAAATTTCCCAAAGCAAAACTGCTTTAATAAAATGTCAGGATTTAAAGGGTTTTTTTTGGCACTGAAAATAATTAAAAAGTTGATCACATCTATGAAATGTTTACATCTAAATATTCCAGAACATTTGTTGTTTGCACTGTCACCAACATTTTTTTAGTACTTTATTATACTCATAATTTTTGCATGTTTATTCAAAACGCATACTGAGAAACAACAAATAAAAGTGTTGCTGCACTGCAACCACATAGAAACAAATGAATCTACATCAATAATAATGACAATTCAACTTTTGTTTTTATCATGAACCCAGTGTCGCAACGCTTTCAGTTTTATATAGTTTTGTGACTCAGAGTATTTTATTATACATTTGAAATAGGGAAAGTTAAGTGTTTGAGTTGCGAATTTTAAGCTTTTAAAGAAGAATCAAGTAGTGAAATAAAAATATTGAAGAACATCTAAAATATATCTGTTCTGGGTTAATTAAACTTGAAATCTGAGTTATATCAGGTTTGAAAAATCGCCTTGTGAACCTGGATCCTTTAATCTTACAGGCGCTTTCCGCCAGGATATATTCTCCTAAAAATATATTGCCTGCATAAAACTGCATATACCTATATTTTAAAATAATAGCAATTTTGAGCCCTGCAAAACAATGCTTAAATCTTTCAGTCCGACGCAATCGGGCTAGCTCTATGTTTTCATGATGATTCTTACAGTTTTAGCTATGAGTTTTCTTCTAGGTGATGAAATCGCAAAAACTGCGCTAACTTACGCCGAGACTGAAACCGTTAACCAGTCTCTTTCCAACGCCCTAGAAAGTTTCGCTGAATCGCTGAGTGCTTTAGGTGACTATGGCGATGCCAGGGCTCAAACAATTGACGCAAAAGTAGTATCGGAGCTTTCTAAGTATGAGCAAATCTGCAAAAACGTTAAGGAAGAGGTCAAGGAAATATATGCAATCAGAGACAGGGAATTGACTCGTAGGAGACAATTGGATAGAATCAGGGAGAGGAACCCTAGACAGAGACAACAGATTGTAAGTATTTTTGACGTCATCTTTTTGATGATTTGTGTGCCTATATTTGATGGAATTAATCATTTCTGTAATTCTAAAACCGCATGTTACGATGTATATGTAGTGAGTTATGTACTCTACAGGTTCATCAAAAATGAAACGTTAAAAAATATAGAATTCAGACTTTTTGCGATTTCAAAAAGTTTTTTGTGCAGCTCACCAGATACCTACCACAAAGATCTGATGGCAAAAAATCTTTTGAAAAATCCAACATAACTAATATTACTGATTACTGTGTGGTAATATGTCCATTATAGCAGTACATGCTAACTGTATTATAATTAAAATATATCCACTTTCAGATTCAAGCAGAAACTGATTTGGTCAAAGCCACAGCTGAAGTTTCCAAATCCATACATAATCTCGAAGAAAAAACTACAAGATTCGAGAAGCAAAAACTGCATGATATAAAGAAAATACTTCTAGACTTTATATCTGTTGAGATTGGCTATCATGCTAAGGCTTTGGAGATTTTTACCAAAGCTTATAATGATGTTAACAGTATCAACGAAGAGCGCGACCTAGAGGTACTTCTTTTAGATCAGTAGGCAATAAATAACGCCCTTTTGTGGGTGCTGGGAACCTATGGGGGGTAGGAAACGAGCCTAAATGTTATGAGGGGGGATGCGATGCAATGCATAATTTCCCCCCCACTCTTCAATTGTAACAAGGCCAATTACTCTCAAAAGCACTGATGTAAGACTCCCCCTCCCACTGCACCATCATTCTTTCTTAGAAGGCATCTTCTTGAATAATTTTGGAGAATAATTGATTCTCAAAGTGATCAGTAGACGAAGTGTGTTTAAGAGTTATTTCTGATTTAGATTATCTACATTTTCCAGTAACAAGAGCGATTTTATTGTTGCTGATCTGGTTTTGTATTAGCTTAAAAAAATTTGAAAATCAAAACGATTGCCTTATGAATCAAGGGTTGCTCAAAATATAGTTTTTATTCATATTGGAACTTAAGCTACAGGTAATACAATGCTATACAAGACAAAACGCGATAGTATAATTTTATTTTCTGATTGAATTACAATAGCGGATAACTCAAACATGTAGTAGTAGTGGAAAGATTCATTTAGCACAAATGGCTACATAAACGATTGGAAGCAATACATACAATAATAATTAATTCAAAACATATGGTGTGTATAATTTTTTTCCATATTGACATAATGGTTACTCAGTTTTGATTTAAAATTTTTCAGGCTATTGTACTGTTTTATGTCTGATTTTTTGTTGTGCATCTCAGGATTTCCATCACATTAGAGGACAACTACAGTCGGTAATGTATCAGTGTATATCTCTGCCGTCACTACAACTATAAAATAAAACTGATTTTGTTTGCTGAAAAATTTCGAAAATAACTGCGATTCATCGGGCTTCATCCGAGGCAGTAAAAACGTATATCTCAGTAAATATTTGTACTTTTAATTTTGATAAAGGTGAAGTGTGATGGAACAAAGAGACAGCTGAAAATGTTATCACCCCTATTCGGAAGCAAAAGTAATATCTTCCTAAACCTCCATATATTAGACAGGAATTATAGTGACGTCAACGTGGAAAATGTAGTCAAGTAAGATTCGCTTTATTCCCATCTACAAAAAAAAATGTGTAACAACGAAGCTGAGTGAAAGTTATTTACATATTAAATCAGTTGAAGGCTTTTTTCTTGTTCAGATTCAGATTGATGATGAGATGAGGATTGTAGCTTCATACATCAATAAATAATACTGGTTTCCAAGCTACACGTTCAATAAACATCATGTTCCATGATAAATATTGACAGATCACAGTAAATCCTGATCGTGTAACATTTGCTTTACATGAGGAAATTAACTTTTTATCCATTTCCAACTAGGAGCTGAGGAAGTCTCTCCATGCTTCAGACAAAATGCAGCATAATAAATCCATAAGCAAACGCCAAATATTTAGATCATCAGGCTCTTTAGGATCCTTGGGCACCATTTTCAAAACTAACAGCAGCAGAAGACCTGGTACTCCGGATTCAAAGAAGTTTTCGAAAAGTGAAGAAACTTTGGATTCATTGAAGCATAGCTTTTCCGAATCTGCCGTTTCCGATGAAGACAGCGAAGAGGAGAACACATCCAGTGATGAACATAAAGAGTCTCCCATCATGGTTCGGAAGAGCATGAAGCCAGTGGGTTGAAGTCTCATTTGTAATTATTGTTTGAAATAAATCTTTTGTAGTACACAGTTTTATCTTAAAAAAACGTGATAATTTTTAGTTGTTTTATGATCACTGGAGACCAAACCTTTTCATTTCAAATAGACAAATGGAAATCTACAATCAAATAAACATTATAAAAAATATTGTAATTTTATTTATCAGCAACATATTTATATTTTTATTACAGATATGAGCCAGGAAATTATTTAGGGCTGAATGTATAGATGTTTCACCTAAGGGCTCATTAGTGTGAAGACATTGAGTGATAGGAGTACTGACTTTTATTCATTCGTAGGCCACACAATAAAAAAAAAAAGATTAAAACGTTTATTATATACATCACATGTAAACTAAAAGTACTCATAAAAGTGATGAACTTCATTTCTAGATATTAAAAACATACAGTTCATTTTTCTGGTCCCTCAACTCCAGCTTGTGTCATCAGATCTCCAATGTTTTTCTCTAGGTCATCGATTCTGTTCCCCATTTCATCGATCCTGGTTAGAATCTGATCAGACATGTTCTGGAATTTGTCTTGGATATTTTGTAATAGGCTTTGTACCTGGAAGCAAAGCAATTTGATTATGATTAATAAAGGCTGGTTTATGCAACATTATCAAAGTCATAATCTTGAATTGAATCTTATGAACTTTAAGGTTGACCTTGCTATGCTTATGACAAGGTGTATACACATATTCATGAAAAATACGCATTTCAAATCGTGCATAAAATGTATAAACCTGCTATATTATATTTATGCTAATATTAAAGTTTAGAGGGTAGCAGTGTGCACCTGGGAGTGGCAGAAAACCATTGCCATATTTAGGAGAGGACAAAAAAGACTTAATGAAGGGTTTCTATTACTGATAGCCCTAACCTAAGGCTCCTAGCATATCGGTATGCTTTATTTAACTAATCGGGCACACAAACCCAGCGTTCTAAATGCAAAACTGACTATAGGTGAGGTTGGGCTACACTAATCACTAGAACTTACATATTGTGTGAGTTCTTGTACATTTTTGGGGTCGTTAGCAGTCATGCTGGTGTAACTATCACCGTCGTTGTTCATCTCCACTTTTTCATCTACCATACTGGAAAAATTATGGGATTTTATGGAAATGATGCGACTTTGTTTAGTCGAAATATGCCCTGGCTTGTACCAGGCACTGCACCCACCAAATACTTGCTCGAACTACACCTAGCAGGTTTATGATTTTAATAATAATGAATACGTAGTAGCTTTTGAGTATTCAAAAATTATCTGCCAGTTATAGAAATAAAAACAGTCAGCACTTAATCACATATGATCAGCAACATTCAAAAGCCAAATTACAAAAGGAATTTTTTTATTGCTGTATCTTGTAGTACAACTATGCCACGATAGATCGCGCCACCTCTATTATAAAGACAGCTCACCGAAAGTTTATGAAGCATATAGTTATTTATGCATCGAGGGAGTAATGTAATAGAATCACATTAGAATAAGGGCGCTTATTGAACCCGACTTTATCTACAACCGGTTACAGAGTAAGTAAAAATGCTAGTTTAGCGTTCAACAGAACTTCACGATTTGATTATTATTTCCAAAGCAAAATAGGACAGGAACGAAAGCATTGTCCTACAGATTTACTGTTACACTATATTATTGACCTATATAACCGGTAAATCAGTTATCTTATGTATTTTGGGCGTAATAAGCACTTCTGACCCTTAGCCCATTAAATTCCGCCAGAATACTCACGCCACGCCTTAGATATATCAATGACTATCATTTGATTAGTTCCTGGTACGAAAACACAGGTCGGCGAGCTTTATTCCTGGAAATCTGAGAAATGCCCTTGGCCGGGATTAATTGTTTCGAATTCATATGTTTTAAAGGTTATGGTATCCGTTTTTAGTTTTTATACTTGCGTTTTTTTTTCGGAAGCATGTTTTTGCTGATTTCACAGGAAAATCATAATCGGTATCTATAGAGTGTGGAGGTGAGTTGTAAATAAGACTCGGAGTGTGGTTTTTTCGTTTCGAACAATCGATCCGTATGCCTGAAAAAATGTTCTGGGTGCATACAGAGGGAACGATGGCGATACACAAATTGGCGCCAAGATTGGTACGTTTATACAATTATTTGTTTTTTCACCGAGATATTTAGTTTGCTTAGGAAATGGTAATATCTACATTAAAGGAGGCTAAACATAATTGCCAGAATCTAGTCTAATATGTCTAGGGCTTAGTTGGGCACGATTTTTAAAAAGCTTTGTTCATAGTGCGACCGTGGGTTTATACGTAGCTATTATCAGGCATGCCTTAATATCATATTCTTGACGTGATTTTTATCGAAACATTTCATCCCAGTCCAACATTGTCGAGGAGAAACCCCTTAGGCTTGGGTATACTCTGTGGCGACTGCCTTGTCGCTCATTTCCACTAGTAATGTGCTTTATAGTTGTTTATTTTGGTGACGTGTTAGTTGGGACCTGGTTAGTCCGGTGTGTCGGAGTGTCGATCTACTGATACATTGGCTAGACGCCCTTGGAAATAACGTTTCGAGCCATGGATGTAGTGGTGATGATCTTGTTCATGGTATGGCTTCAAGCCAGACTATCCAGGGCACTTCAAATGAGCTCGTTAATTGTGCGAAAAGCGCAGCAACCAATAAATGAATGAATGAAACTTACTAGTCCTAGGTATTAGTTCGCGAACGAGTCATTTCACACAAAAATAATGTTAAGTAGCGGTTAGTATTTGAATGGGTAACCTCTTTGGAGCACCTCATACTGTTGTTTTATTTATTACATTTTTTTAGTTAAGACGAATGTTTAATATAATTTAAATACTCCAGGTAACTGTCGCTCACATAGTAGATGTAGCTAAGAGCATGAGAGTCGCCAGCCAGTGGCCCAGGGGGACAAAAGTTCATACGATGAATGAGAAATGTAGAAATTGGAGGTAAAGTCAATAGCACATCAAATTTACACGTGTATTACGAGTAGGAGACTCGGGCAAAAAGAACTATAAGGGCAAAAGGAATCAGTTAAAAAAAAATTAGTTTCAAAATTCCCGCCACTATCTTCTATTTACTTCTAGCAGATACTGTACTACAGTAACTGTAGTTCTCCAGTGTTTGTTTTGATACCCATCCCGGTAAGCTAATTTTTCAAGTTTTTTCTGCCAATCTGGAAAATGTAACCGTCTTGAATTCTCGATCATGGTTTAAATAGATGGAAATTATTTTAGTATCTATTGTTATAAGTTGAAGCATTGAATTTTGTGGCGATGAATAACGTTTTATGTAGATTCTAACCTCACATTAATTGTGGCGCTGTTCAAGGGTTTGACATTTATAAATAATATTTTAATGTGATGAAATTCAAGCGGATAACCAAATGGAAATGGTATTTACCATTTTGGGTTGGTATTTACCAATCCGTTCAAGCGAGTGTAGTTTGGTTATAAGATCCGTGACGTCACGAATCAGCTGTTATATGTCATAGTTATCACCGCAAAATTGTGGTATTTACCCAACTCAAGAGTAGTTTTATATTTCTGGTTATTATTTGAAATGTGACAAGCTTCATTTTTGAGAAAAATGATACAGACTGACTTCAGTTTTACCATAAAGTGGAGCATACTCATTACGGTTGTTGGGGACACTTTAAATGTAGTTCCTATGCTTAACAAAGTATCCTGTGTAGCCATATACCACAAGAATATTAAAATATGGCCATATAAACTCACTAGATGATATCCACCTGTATACGGTTTTGCTAATTTCTTTTTTCATCATTTCTGCTGAATCAATAAATGTTTTTTTTGACATGCGGAAAAATTTAGAGAATTGAAAGTTATCATAGCTACAAAGCCATGGTTCCATCATTAAAAAAAATCTGAAAAAACATTTCTCCCATGAATATTATTTAAACTTTCCATATACAGTTGTAGACGAAAAAGCACCGATTATTAAGTGATAATAAAAATAATCACAGATTATATACGCGCTTTTCTAAAATAAACAACTTGCAACAAAACCGCGGTTAAAACCAACGCGTTCAAGCGATTCGTGTAACTGACGTCATCAACCCGTGTGTCATCTTGAACCATATTATAACCGCGGCACATAACACAGAAATTTTGGTTATTCGCTTGGATTTGATTTGTGTTGCATACCTTCTGGGCAAGATGAACCAGGCAAAAAGAACCGGTTCTATTTGCCCGGCTTCTTTTGCCCGCTATTCCGTTAGATATATTTTTTTTTCAAAATTGAATATTGTTTCAGAATAATGGTTTTCAAGTATAAACGAAAAACAGAGAGAGCCCAAGAATGGGACGAAAATATAACGAATCGCGCAATAAATTCAAACCAAAGAGAAACATATATTCGCGGTGCCGCTCTGCAGTTTAGAATTCCATATCCCACTTTACGAAAATATTTTTTAAAGCAGTCCTCCAAAAACAACTCGGACGGTTTAGACCAGTTTTTTCTGGCGATATGGAACAGCAACTTGTACAACATATTCAAGAAATGGATGCCCGTTTTTATGGGTTCACAAAACAAAACTTATGCATTTTAGCATTCGAGTTCGCAAATCGAAATAATTTGCCACATCATTTTCGTAATGGAACAGCTGGCGAGCAATGGTACTCAAATTTTATGAGGCGACATCCCGAATTAAGCCTTAGAACACCAGAACCTACAAGCATTGCCCGGGCTTGTGGATTTAACAGGCCAAAAGTGCAATTATTTTTTGATAATTTAAATAACCTTCGTCAAAAATATTTATTTGATGTGGACAAATATACAACGTGGACGAGACCGGCATTCAAACGTCTGCAAAGAGGCCAGCAAAAGTTATTTCTTTTAAGGGAAAAAAACAAGTGGACTCAATTTCATCGACCGAGAGGGGGCAGCTGGTAACCGCCGTATGTTGCTGTTCTGCTTCTGGAAAATTTATCCCTCCAGCCCTCATATTTCCTCGGAAGAAGAGAAATCCAAGATTTTTGAATGGCACACCACCTGGAACTGTAGATTTTGTAAGCGACAATGGTTGAATAAATAATGAGATCTTCTTAGAATGGATGAAATTTTTTATTAAATCTGTTAGACCATATTCAGCACATAAATGTTTACTCATATTAGATAATCATATTTCACACCGATCTTTGGATGTGTTGGAATATGCTTCTGAAAACAACGTAGTAATCCTTTCTGTTTCTCCACATACCACGCATAAATTACAGCCGCTTGATGTTACGGTATATGGACCCATCGGGAAATATTTTGAAAGAGAGGTTGATAAATGGCAAAAGCAACATCCTGCACAACATATTACTTTAGACGAATTAGGTGCATTATTTGGATCTGCTTATTCACAAGGCGCTACTCCTCAAAATGCAATAAATGGATTAAAAAAACAGGAATATTAGATGGAAATATTTATGTTTTTAGTGACCTGGATTTTGCTCCTTCTCAAGTAACAAACAAGGAATATGATGCCAACGAAACTCAAAACCTTGCCGCTAGTAATGGTCAATGTGCATCTCCAAGTTTACCTATTGCGTCGTGTTCGAGCCATGAAGAAACACAGCGTAACGTCGAACATCACACACCTCCTCATTCGCATATAGCCCTCTGTTCTCTTGAAAATGAGAATCATGTGAATGAGAATCGTTTTCTCCTGCTCCATCATGCTCCTACCAATCCGCTTACGAAAATTCAAATTACTTTACATCATTAACTGCAATTAAGCCTTTCCCAAAAGTTAAACAGAATGATCCCAAAAGAAAACGCAGAACACAGAAGTCAGAAATTTTAACATCTACACCCATTAAAGACGAATTAAGAAATCAGAAAAATAAAAAATTACCCAAGACCAAATTGCCAGATGAAATGAAACGTGCAAAGAAACCTAGAAGTTCAAAGTTGGACCAAAATGAATTGCAGTACCCAAAGCCACCGGTACACAGAACGGATCCCAATGAAGAACATGTACCATGCCTCGTCTGCGGAGATATTTTTGGCAACTCTAAGTCTGGCGAAACATAGATTGAATGCAATATGTGCCAAAACTGGGCTCATCAATTATGTGCTGATTACAACAGAGGTATCTATATTTGCGACAAATGCAAGTTATCAGTTTTGAGTTCCTTGAAATAAATAACTGTTAATAGACTTCCACTTTTAGTTATGTTTGAAATAAAGTTCTTCTTGCCCATATGTATTTCATACGCTGATCACTTTTGCCCGAGGCGTTGGTTCTTATTGCCCTCATATGTGGGCAAAAGGAATCAAAAGCAAGTTTTCGTTTAATCTTTTTTTTAAGATATATTGCTATAATTATATCTTTGTATAATATATATTTTGTTTCTAAATGTAATAGAGTCTTATTTCCCATTAAAAAAATTACAATTAGGTTTAATAGAAGATTTTAAAAGCTGGCGACTTAAGGTGGTTCCTTTTGCCCGAGTCTCCCCTATGCCTATGGTGATTGTGATAAGGACAGTATAAAGTCCGATGTGTCAATCTCCACGAGCTCTTGACTGTACGGTAAATGGAACTTAAATTAAATTATATTATTATATTTATTATAACTTAGAGTTTGAGACAATATTTCCTTATATGAGTGTAAAGGTAAGTCTAATACAGTATAATATTAAATCGAAACAATTCTCGGAGTTTTTTTGCAAACGTCTCGACCACTTTATTATGAAATTCATCCAAGTTTGCATTAACAAGCTTCCTGTAGACTCTCATCATGACCAGAGCATTGAGGCGATCTCAGCCCATGGTGCTTCATAACCAGGTTTTTTGTCTCCTAAGGCTGCTAAACGAGTGCTCTACCGTACTTGTTGTACATGTTAGAGCAAATCAACATTATCAACGCCTTTTCTGTTTCGGGGAAGAAAGTTTTGCCTCTTTCATGGCATCAACAACGGTTAAGTTTGTTAAATTTGCTTTATTACTCCAGAATTTCTGCCAACGTTCGACTTCAATATTTAAGGTCGATAAATTATATAATTTGGCGATGTTTTGTCAAGTTTATTTGAGGTCGTCGAATGACATCGTTTGCATTTGCACCGGGACTGAGAACAGACGCGAGAACAACGACGGAACGACGCCTGCGCGAGGCGGTTGCGTCCGACGGGAACGGCTTCATATTTCAAACAGACCAGACGGAATAGTAGGAATGGAAATGATGAATTCGTTCGAGAGTGCGGGAATGATCTGTCAAGCACGTTAAGTGAGTTTACTTATGAATTTTATTGATTTGCATTTCACTACATTTTTCAGGGTCTCTAGGGGAGGCAACTGCCCCCCTGCCTCCCCCGAGCAACGCCTTTGGCTAAGAGATATACAGGTTTTCGAACAATCTCAAATAATGTACAATTTTGTATTTTGCTTCCACCATTTCAGAAGGTTTTCAATAAATAGTATATTAAACTAGGCAACCCTAGGTATATAGATGTCCTGATTTTGCGAGAACAGTTTTTTTGTCAGAAAAAAGTTACGTGGCAAATGAATTCAAGAAGACGAAAACAGTATACGAACTTTTTTACTAAAGTAAAACGTATTTGCGCAGCTTAAAGTCCAGTCGCAGCAAGCATAATCGAACGTGATAAATATTTTCATGGACCGCTTTTGGGCTAGAAGTGGTGCCAGGAACGAGCAAAATCTATCCCAGATTAGTTAAGATGGTTAAAAAACGTTTGTATCTGCTCTCCGAATCATGCGAGCGACTCTTTGCGAAGACAGAGCATACAGAATATATACCGTTTTAAATGAATATTTGTAGTTAATTTACATTTTTATTTCAGATTCGTTTCAATTTCTTCATGAGCTGCAATGGGTGATCTTTTTTTATAAAAGTTAGATAATTTTTAGTTTTATTTAATTAAAAATTATTTTCTACTTTTTAGTTCGGTTAGCTATAAAAGCGTGTTTTTTAGTTTTTTTAACCTATTATTTATTCTTATCTCGTTCTTGTTTGTTCTTGACAGTTATACCTATTAGTTATCTAATAATGGACGAAAATGTGATGTTAGTGGTTCCGTCTAGTCGCTAGTTTCGACAATTGGTGGCTGTCTCTACTCTATAAGCTTGGCCACCAGTGACCGCCATTGGTGGCCTATATGCGGTAGGTCTTAAGATGCGATTCCACCAGTGTGCTGAACTGTGCGGCACTCTAATGCACAGTGTACGGCACAAATGTTTCTTCTGGTCGACTCACTCACGCAAACAATAGCAAATTATGCGCGAACATTTCGGAAACGTTCGCGCACACATCAGTTACTTTTGTGCGCGCGCACATACAAGCAGTGGACGTGCGCCGGTGCGTACATCCGTACATACTTGTTGTTCGCGATCTCAGTGTTGCTTCCACTCCTGGAGTGAAAACATTTGTTTGTACGCGCACTTTTTTTACGAAATTAAAAATGGACTGGACGAATGATCAAATTATAAGATTTATTCGAGCAGTTGAAACGTATCCTCTTCTATGGGATTCCAGTCACAATGATTATAAGAATAGAAACAAAAAACACGACGCCACTCAAGAGTTTGCTCAAAGTTTCAATTGTGACTCGACTGAGGTAATGAGAAAATGGAAGGTTATTTTGGCTCAATACCGAAGAGAAAAAAAGAAAATATCGGATTCAAAATCTTCAGGTTCTGGGTTTTCAGATGTATATAAGCCAAAATGGTTTGCTTATGCATATTTGGCTTTCTTTCATGCAAGGGATGAACCGAACACCAGCATGAACTCACAAGATGAAATAAATGAACAGGTACATTCAATTTTTTTATTATTTTATAACTCTATTATACTTAGGTATGCTTTTTACGCTAGTGTTTCTTGCCATGGCACCATTCCGATGTCAGTTTGAAAATAATTTGCTAGTTCTTCCCTTATATCTTTCGCATCGCCAGTTGGTCTTCTTCCGACATTTCTTAATGGTAGTAAGTTTGCCATGGGTGCATCGCGCCGCCAACTTCCATCGATAGCGCTATGGGTAATTCGGTTTTCAGTATCGAAAATGCCAGGAGAAGTGTAAAGCTGTCAAGACGAGTTTTGTGTCATCAAAAAATTTTGCAAATAACAACATGTCAGTGTTATCAATTGTGCCTTTTCTGGAGCTAAAAGCATGGGTTTCCTGCGTACGCGAAATACAGCGGACAAAATCCCAAATATATACATTTTCCACAATACGTCTCGGTCTGCTCAACCGCTAATTGAATATTCTTTCTTTCGATCTTTTGTCATGTTGACCGGGATATGGTTTCATTAAATTCATATCCAATGCAAAATCATCGTCTGCAACAATGACATATGGAATTGGTGTCTTCCTCGCGGGTAGCGCAGTAGGTTGAGGTAAATTTAATTGTCCTTGCTGAAGATTAACATAGAAACCCGTATTTTTGAAAACACCACCATCCGATATTCTTCCTTTACAACCGACATCTACGTACGTGAATTTATAATTTGCATCAACCAATCCTAAAAGTACAATGCTGAAATCGCCTTTGTAATTAAAAAAGTCACTTCCAGTATTATTTGGAGCTTGTATAACAATATGTTTGCCATCCATAGCCCCAATGCAGGGAGGGAAATTCCAATGTTTTTCAAATTGACGTTCTATCAGCATAAATTCTTCTGCAGGGACACATTTTCTGTAGTTGGTGTCTTGCTTTGCAATATGAGGACTAAGTGCATTGACCAGCAACTCAAAACCTTCACACGATATACGAGTAAAATTTTTAAATCCACTTAAGGGATCTACTTTTATTTCTTCTACAAATCTATTCGTTTCTTGATTCCATCGCTGCAGAAAAGGCCTCACCCAACATCGTGGTTTTCTTCTTCGTTTCTGTTTAAGCAGACTACCTATTAAAACACAAGCTGCAGCACAAAACACTACGTATTCCCGCCCATCCATATTAAGAACTGAAGTTAGTGAGAACGTTGCTTGGTAAACATGTTCGTGCACAAGTGTGCTACACTGTACGCGTACAAAAGTTATGCACTGCTTTGCCGGTGGCCACAGAAGATAAATTCGATACCAGTGAGCACATTCAATGCTGGAGTTTCACACAAAATGTTTGTAAACAAATGTGCTGAACACTATTTTGCTGGAATCGTACCATAAAGATGCGATTCCACCAGTGTGCTGAACTGTGCGGCACTCTAATGCACAGTGTACAGCACAAATGTTTCTTCTGGTCGACTCACTCACGCAAACAATAGCAAATTGTGCGCGAACATTTCGGAAACGTTCGCGCACACATCAGTTACTTTTGTGCGCGCACATACAAGCAGTGGACTCGCGTCGGCGCGTACATACTTGTTGTTCGCGAACAAAGTGTTGCTTCCACTCCTAGAGTGAAAACATTTGTTTGTACGCGCACTTTTTTTACGAAATTAAAAATGGACTGGACGAATGATCAAATTATAAGATTTATTCAAGCAGTTGAAACGTATCCTCTTCTATGGGATTCCAGTCACAATGATTATAAGAATAGAAACAAAAAACACTACGCCACTCAAGAGTTGACTCAAAGTTTCAATTGTGACTTGACTGAGGTAATGAGAAAATGGAAGATTATTTTGGCTCAATACCGAAGAGAAAAGAAGAAAATATCGGATTCAAAATCTTCAGGTTCTGGGTTTTCAGATGTATATAGGCCAAAATGGTTTGCTTATGCATATTTGAATTTCTTTCATGCAAGGGATGAACCGAACACCAGCACGAACTCACAAGATGAAATAAATGAACAGGTACATTCAATTTTTTTTATTATTTTATAACTCGATTATACTTATGTATGCTTTTTACGCTAGTGTTTCTTGCCATGGCACCATTCCGATGTCAGTTTGAAAATAATTTGCTAGTTCTTCCCTTATATCTTTCGCATCGCCAGTTGGTCTTCTTCCGACATTTCTTAATGGTAGTAAGTTTGCCATGGGTGCATCGCGCCGCCAACTTCCATCGATAGCGCTATGGGTAATTCGGTTTTCAGTGTCGAAAATGCCAGGAGAAGTGTAAAGCTGTGAAGACGACTTTTGTGTCATCAACAAATTATGCAAATAACAACATGTCAGTGTTATTAATTGTGCCTTTTCTGGAGCTAAAAGCATGGGTTTCCTGAGTACGTGAAATACAGCGGACAAAATCCCAAATACATTTTCCACAATACGTCTCGCTCTGCTCAACCGATAATTGAATATTCTTTCTTTCGATCTTTTGTCATGTTGACCGGGATATGGTTTCATTAAATTCATATCTAATGCAAAATCATCGTCTGCAACAATGACATATGGAATTGGTGTCTTCCTCGCGGGTAGCGCAGTAGGTTGAGGTAAATGTAATTGTCCTTGCTCAAGATTAACATATAAACCCGTATTTTTGAAAACACCACCATCCGATATTCTTCCTTTACAACCGACATCTACGTACGTGAATTTATAATTTGCATCAACCAATGCCAAAAGTACAATGCTGAAATCGCCTTTGTAATTAAAAAAGTCACTTCCAGTATTATTTGGAGCTTGTATAACAATATGTTTGCCATCCATAGCACCAATGCAGTGAGGGAAATTCCAATGTTTTTCAAATTGACGTTCTATCAGCATCCATTCTTCTGCAGCTTTAGGCATCTGAAAAAGAAAATATTATTTCAGCTAATACAAGAACATACTACAGTAAATGAACGTCAAGAGTCATCTCATGAAAGGCCAGTAGAAAAGTTTAAGGCTCCAAAGAACTCGTTGAAACCTCGTGCTGTCGATGAAGACCCGAGAATTTCCCATGCTTTGTCCATTATGGACAACGTAAATAAGCAGATGGAAGCAAGAAAACGTGACGACATTTTTGCTGCAGGCGTCGCAACGAAATTAAGAAAAATTAAAGATGAGCGAAAGAAGATTTTAGTGCAAAGGGACATTGATAATTTGTTGTATGACGCGATTATTGGTACTGGAAAATATGCTACGACTCGAATTCCTTCACCTTATTCAGATTCGTCAAACTCACAAGGTCAGGTACCGCTTTCAAGTTTTCAAGCCCGCAATAGTGATTTTGACGACGACCTTTTACGCCAGCATAACAGCGAAATATTAACTTGGCAAGATATGTAGCAATAAATGTTAATAAATATGGTTTAGCTTTCTTACCTTAATGTTTTCTTTCAGCACGCTTATCAACCCCTTACAAGTCTCAGATACAATCCGAGCAATAAGTTCTTTTGAAACTTTAAATAAATACATTAAACTTGCAAAAGAATCTCCAGTAGCAAGATATCTCAGGGTAATTGCTAGCCTTATTGAAACAGGGACACATTTTCTGTAGTTGGTGTCTTGCTTTGCAATATGAGGACTAAGTGCATTGACCAGCAACTCAAAATCTTCACACGATATACGAGTAAAATTTTTAAATCCACTCAAGGGATCTACTTTTATTTCTTCTACAAATCTATTCGTTTCTTCATTCCGTCGCTGTAGAAAAGGCCTCACCCAACATCGTGGTTTTCTTCTTCGTTTCTTTTTAAGCAGACTACATATTAAAACACAAGCTGCAGAACAAATCACTACGTTTTCCTGCCCGTCCATATTGAGAACTGAGGTTAGTGAGAACTTTGCTTGGTAAACATGTTCGTGCACAAGTGTGCTACACTGTACGCTTACAAAAGTTACGCACTGCTTTGCCGGTGGACACAGAAGATAAAGTGGATCGGCTGCTTGAATATTCGTGATTTGGAAATATCAGCTACTATATCTCAGTTCCTGAAATATCTGCCACCTCTATTCCGAGGCCCAACTGGTTATGGTCACAAATTTCGAAAGTTTCATTTGTCACGGGTGGGTTAATTAGAACAAGGAGTTACAAAAACAGTTGTTTTCACTTGCCAGCTCTGCTACATTTATATCTTTACCCATCATTGCGGCAAAAGGCAACTGAACATCTTCAACACCATCACCAGCGTGGTGAAGGTGAGATGACGACATTCTTTCGTCGCCGTTGAACGTTTTCACGTTCTCGCCCGTTGCCTCGTAGCAAACCGTGCTATTAAAAGAAAGATTAATGGTGTAAAAAGTGGCTCTCCTAAACATCTACAAATTGTCGTGGCGGCAAATGAGCCGCATTTATTATCGAGCTAATACAGACACATACGGCGCAGTCAGAACGGCGCGGTAGAGCAGCCCTGAAGACAGAAAAGTTAATTTCGGACAGTCATAGAGCTTCAGAGCTTGTATCGGAGCTTAGTGTACAGTAACTTAAATACGTATCCATTGTGTTACAGACCGAAAAATATGCGAATAATTCAAGTTATTGGAAATGTCAATAATAACTAGGGGTAGTGTTTCAACACCATATGTTTAACGCGCGGTACCGAATGACCCACTTTTCGCAGGGCTTTTTATTTGACACAGTACTCGTACAAAGGGTTCGACGCAACCAAACAAGCAAGCCAATACGCCAAAATGTATTACCCCATCATAGGCGGATCATTCAGCACTGGGCTCATGATACTTCTTTGGGCAGTTCTCAAATGTAAAATAATGTGTGTAATAAGCCCACCTTTAATCTATTTTCATACCTTGCTGGCCGCCAAGCATGTAAATGTAGATTAATCTGCGAGATAATCACACCGTCTAGGGAAGGTGTATCAGTAGTGGTCCCAGCATGTTTAATAAGAAGACCGGCGGATGAAGTGGCGGCGGCATCTTTACAACGCTTCTCAAAGCAGATGCAATTTTGACAATTGAAGAGGGAATGGGATACGTTTAGGAGGAGGAGAGGGATACGTGATTCAGGTCTAGCAAGGCAATTTTTACACCAAGATATAGCAATATATAGCCATTTTCTTGCGTATATGTTCAACTTGACGCAAATATAAATAAAATAGTGATTCTGCATTTTTGAGCTTGGTAGCTCTGTATGTTCGTTAGTGCGTTCTTAGAACGTGATCCTCATGTGTTCTGTAATTAAGGTAATTAATTCTTGCAGGAATATAAGAAAAAGCATTTTCGCGCGCGCCTTTAACGGTGTGAGCAAATTTTATAAAAATACTATTTGACGGATAAAATCAGAGAAAAGCGGTTTCATTTAATTGAAAGTAATAAACTATATATACAGGGTTTGTCCGGAAAGTAATAGGACTGAGTCGATTTAAAAAAATTTATTGAGCAAATCGTTACAATTCTTTAAAAACTTTCAAAATAGGCTCCTTCTGCGTCGATGCAGCGCTGCCAGCGCGATTTCCAAGCATTGAAGGCGTCACGGAAGGCATTCTCCGGAATAGCCTTGAGAGCCGCGGTGCATGCTGCATGGATCCCCTCTGTCGTCTCAAAATGCATGCCTTTCATCGACCTTTTCAGGCAAAAACAATTCCGAGGGGGCCACATCTGGGCTGTAGGGCGGCTGCGGAAGCGTTGGGATGCCGGCCTTGGTCAGGTAGCTGTTCACAAGAAAGGCGGTGTGAGCCGGGGCGTTGTCGTGGTGCAACTTCCAGTCGGCTGCGATGTCTTGTCGGACCCGACTGACCCTTCGTTTGAGTCTCCTGAGCACTTCCACGTAAAACTTGGCGTTGACGATCTGTCCAGGAGGAACAAATTCATGGTGGACGATGCCTTTGATGTCAAAAAGGACAATGAGCATCGCTTTCACTTTGGATTTGCTCATTCTTCCCTTTTTTGGGCGAGGAGACGCCGTCGTTTTTTTTTTATATCGAAACAGCTGCGCAGGCAGAAGCCTAAATGCCGGAACACCGCGGCTGCTATGATGATCCCAAAGAAATTTTGTTAATACGATTTTTGAACTGCCTAAGGTTAGTAGAACTGGGAAAAGCTTCCTCTTGTAGATTGTTCCACAATCTAGACACCCTCGGGACAAAGGAGCGGTCGTATCGGCCAGTTCTGGATGTACGAAGTTTGACACGGTTAGGATGGGACGTCGAAGTCAGGCGTGTCTGTCTGGCAGGCACATCGCGCGGCGGCATCATGGAAGAGAGCTCTGAGGAGCAAAGCCCGTTGGTGTAGCGATAGAAAAGAGCTAGATCGCCCACGGCCCGACGGTAAGAAAGAGTCCCGAGACTGTCTGTTAGAGAAGAGTCATCGATCAGTCGGACCGCCCTCCTCTGGACAGCATCGAGCATGGACAATGTAGTCGGGGCGGCAGCACCCCAAATGTGTGAGCAATACTCGAGGCTAGGCGTTATCTGGGCCTTGTATAGAGTGAGAAGGTCATGCGGAGAAAAGTACTTCTTAGCCCTAAACAAATAGCCTAGCTTTTTCCCAGCAGCTGCAGCTATTCACGAGATATGTTCGTGCCAGATCAGATCCTCGGTGATCTGGACTCCGACCAGCCGAAATGAATAGCTCTTTGGTAGAACTCGGCCGTCCATCGAAACTGTATGAGCGCTAGGACGCTTTTTGTTCGTCAAAGTACAGTACTGTGTTTTGGAAGCATTGAACTGTACAAGATTGTTGCGTCCCCAAGCAGTGATAGCATCCAGGTCTCTTGTCAGAGAAGAAGTCGTCGCTAGTCTTCTTTTTTCCAGCTCAGCGGCAGAGATCGGCTTGTCACTCTGAATTCCTGCATGTAGAGTGCTGTCATCGGCGAAGCTGTGGATTGGGTTGATCGTGCAGGAAAGGAGGTCGTTGATATGTAAGAGAAACAGTGTTGGAGCCAAGACCGATCCCTGGGGAACACCCGCGTTGACGTTGTGGGATGAAGAGGAGAATCCGTCAATTACGACGGATATCTTGCGGCCAGAGATAAAGTCAGCCACCCATCTGCAAAGCTTTTCTGGGAGGCCATAGGATGGAAGTTTGCTTAAGAGGGCAGCGTGCCACAGCTGATCGAACGCTTACGTGATGTCAAGAGCAATGAGACTGGATGAGGTTACTTCACAATTGCGTGACGTAAGCTAGGAGGTCCCCTGTGGATCGTTGGTGCCGGAAACCGTACTGCCTGTCGCTAATCAAGCTGTGACGTTCGAGGTAGTCCAGAAGCTCGCGTCAACCAAAGCTCATTATGGGCATTGAAATCACCGAGAAGAACTATCTCTGAAGCGGGGTGATTGATGTTCAGGAAGTTGATCTGGACGGCGGCGAGGTATTCCAGTAGGTTATCCCAGTTATGGTTCGAGGGAGAGCGATAAAGGCAGCAAATAAATTTGGATGATGTTTTGGAGTTGAGGCGAAGCCACAGAATGTCCTTCCGGTCTGATTCCAAAGAAACATCCCTGGAGCAGGAAAGAATGCTGCGGAAAAAAGCCACAACTCCCCCGCTCTTTCTCAGATTGGAGTGCACCTCGAAGTTTGGGAAGTTGAGATGGTTAATCGGTGCAGTCTCTGAGATTTTTGTCTCCGCCAAGAAAAGCACGGCGGGACGATTGGATTGCAGGTAGTGATGAACAGCATCAATGTTGCTGTTAATCCCGCAGATGTTCGAAAAACAAATTTTATCTTCGATGTTGTTCCCTCGAGCCCACCCTCCAGCCGGACATTCCGAGAGTGGAGTGAGTTTACGTCCGGAGTTCTTAGTGCTCGAGGGATCCATCATCATTAATTTCTTTGTTTTGGAAGATAACCGACTGCATAGCTTAGGTGTGGAAACATGCGGACATTTATAAGACACCCTGGGAAAAGCTAGCGGGTGGTACCGCCTCGGTCGACTGGTCTGGTCCTTGTCTACCACCTTCTTTTTACGTGTTAGTGATATTAAATAGACCTAAAGTGGCCCGTTGGCGGACTTGTACCGCCACCCGGCAATCGGTACTGAGGTATTCCTTAACGCGTGTACAATCACTTGGACGGGAAGAAGTTGTATACTGGATACAACAACTTCCGGAAAAAGCATTTGCCACGGCCCTCGCTCAGTAGGGCTGAGCGAGGGCCGTGTGCCACTCGGAAGATTGCCTCTTTGTCTCGGGATCAAATTCAAAGATCCACGACTCGTCACCTGTGATTACGTTATTCAAAAATTGGGGGTCACTTTCACACGTGTTCAAATTTTCTTGGCACACTTCCACT